CTTTCTATGAGGGTCTTTTCTTGTTTGTTTGTTTTTGTTTTTTGTTTTTTTTTTCGAGACAGGGTTTCTCTGTGGCTTTGGAGGCTGTCCTGGAACTAGCTCTTGTAGACCAGGCTGGCCTCGAACTCACAGAGATCCACCTGCCTCTGCCTTCCAAGTGCTGGGATTAAAGGCGTGCGCCATCAACGCCCGGCCCTGAGGGTCTTTTCTTATGAGTACCTGAGGCAGCCGTACCTGGTTGATGGCCGGAGGTCCCTGACAAGTTGGCATACAGAATATTGATTTTTACATTATGACTTTTTAATTTATTTGCCTATTTGTTTGGAGGACGTGGCTAGCGCTTGTCACCGCATGCCTGTGGAGGTCAGAGGGCAGCCCATGAGAATTAGTTCTGTCCTTTCAGGATATGGGTTCCAGGACTCAGACTCGGGCCATTAAGTGCAGGGAACCACGGAGTTGGCCTGGCCTGACGGCCACACATCATAGGCTTTTCAGGTTCGAGTCCATGGTTCCTGGGGCACTGTGTGGTTTCCTGGGGCACTGTGTGGCTTCCTGGGGCACTGTGTGGCTTCCTGGGGCACTGTGTGGCTTCCTGGGGCACTGTGTGGCTTCCAGTCCCTGAGAATCAAGGCACTCCCTCAGGCAGTGAAGCATTCGTGACAAACTATGCTTCTCTGTATTGTTCCCTTAGAAGTCAAGGAAGCAGGGAAGCTTGACAGGACAATTGGCATTAGACATTGATCTTGGGTGCCCGGTGAGGCTGGTACACATCCTTGTAGCAGCTACAACTATATTGATCCTGGAAACTGACATTATATTCTGTTTCTGATAAGGGCATGGAAGGATATAGCCTTAGCTTGGCTTGTTTCTAGCCAGCTTTTCTAATTTAAACTGTTCCATTTCTCTTTACATTTTGCGTCTGGGCTTTTGCCTTTCTCTATTCTTTTTTTTTTTTTTTTTTTTTTGGTTTTTACGAGACAGGGTTCCTCTGTTTTGGAGGCTGTCGGTCCAGCCTGGCCTCAAACACACAGAGATCCGCCTGCCTCTGCCTCCCGAGTGCTGGGATTAAAGACGTGCGCCACCAACACCCGGCCTCTAGCCAGCTTTTCTAATTTAAACTGTTCCATTTCTCTTTACATTCTGCATCTGGGCTTTTGCCTTTCTCTATTCTTTGTCTTTCTTCTTACTCTGTGACTGGGCTTGTGGCTGGCACCTGGTGTCCTCTCCTTGCCCCTTCTCTCAATCCCCCCTCTCCTCTCTTCTATTCCTTGTCTCTGCCTGCCAGCCCAGCCTATCCTTTCTCCTTCCTTGCTATTGGCTGATCAGCTCTTTACTAGACCACTCAGGTGTTTGACAGGCAAAGTCAAAAACACCTTCATGGAGTCAAACAAAGCCAACGTAAAAGGATGGAGCACATCTTTGCACCATTAAACAAATATTCCATAGCGTAAACAAATGTAACACCTTCAACTAATATTCCACAACAGCAATATTTGCATCTAGATGCTGCATGACAGAAAACACGTTTCTCAGTCTGGCTTCCTCTGAAAATGACACAATTTCACTCTTTTTCACACCTGAGCCCGACTACACTTCCAATCTGTAATAGAGTATTTGTTTTCCTTTCCTCTGCCAGCTTGATGGGCAGAAGGCAGCGTCTGTCACGGCCAGCTTGCCTTGCCCGTTCTGACAACGCAAGCACGTCTGGGGGCTGCTTTGGTGTGTTCTGCTGTTTGCCTCCCCATGTGTTGTGGAATCTTGTCTCCAAGCGCAGGACAACTGTGCAGGAGCTTATCTTCATCACTGACTGATATGCCACACGCTCAGGTGCAAGCTTTCATGGAGTTACCTTTACCAAGCCTCTATCTCTCCCCTACTGTATTGTCACTGTCAACTTTCCTGTCTCCAACGGGGTTCTGAACCTGTCCTCTCCAAGAATGAAGTGGGCAGACAGACAGCGTGAACAAATAGGAAGGTTTGATTTGTATGTGAGTAACAACCCCAAACAGGATATGGGGGGCACCAAGCAGGATCGACAACCCAAACAGGGAAAAATAGCAAGTGTAATCTTCTTGGTGATGGTGGGGTACCAGCTGAGATGCTGCCAGTCAAAGTTATAGCTGTAGGTGCTCAGGCAAGCCTCAGGATGTCAACTGTTCTCCCCGACCACGAAGACAGCCAGAGAGGGGGGGTCTCAGAATCAGTGGATCTTTAAGAAATGAGCAGGTTAGGGCTGGAGAGATGGCTCAGAGGTTAAGAGCACTGACTGCTCTTCCAGGGGTCCTGAGTTCAATTCCCAGCAACCACATGGTGGCTCACAACCATCTACAATTCAATCCGGTGTCCTCTTCTGGCATACAGGCAGAACACTGTATATGTAATAAATAAATACATCTTTAAAAATTAAAAAAAAAAAAGAAATGAGCAGGTTAGTTTCCGGCCTGCCTCTGCCTCCAGGCTGCTGGGATTAGAGGCGTTCGCCACCACTTCCCGGCCTGTTTCAGCTTTTAAATCCAGAGTTTTCTCTGAGAATCAGTGGTGGCCACATCCTAGGGGTGTGGCTTCAGGTGCAGACATGACCCCCTTGTACAGAAGAGGAGGGGCTGGCTTCCTCTCGGGCTGTGGTGAGAGCATTTGAAGGAAGCACAGAGACTGCATCTTCTGGACCGGGAAGAACGCTGCAGTTGTTCACCATTATTTATCCAAGTGATTCCCTAACAAATACATGTTATCATTTACCTTGAGTCTTGTGGACTCGCGTAAACCCTGCCTCCAAGTAAGTACAGCAAGAACATTCTGCAAGTGTGTGTGTGTGTGTGTGTGTAGGGGTTTTACCTGCATGCATGTCTGTGCACCATCTTCATGCCTGGTTGTGAGCCACCATGTGGGTGCTAGGAATCAAATCCTGGTCCTCTGGAAGAGCAGCCAGGGCTTTAACCCCTGAGCCATCTCTCCAGCCCCCGCAAAAATAATGTTGTTGTTGAGTCAGGGTCTTATGTAGTCCTGGCTGGCCTGGAACTCCGAGACTCACAGGAATCCGCTGGCCTATGCCTCCCGAGTGCTAGGGTTAAAGTCCTCAACTTCCACTTTTAGATTACATCCTTTCAACAAAGTAACTTCGAAAGTCACCATAATTATGTACTGTCTTGAGCCGGCTCGCACACACACCCCAACCTTGCTTCACAGAACCTGGAATCCTTTCTGCACTGTACACTAGGATCCCGGGCAGAGCTCTTCAGGCTGCCGATGCTGAGTTTACCTGTCATTGCCAGTGACATCTGCAAGCACACTCCCTCGGTCGTCTAATCCCTCGCAGAACCCAAACGCTGCTCTGACGGCTTGCAGTGGAGAGATTATTAAGCAGCTCCCATCCAGCCTTGCTCTCCTTGGGTGACCCTGTCAAATGCAGAGACTCTCTCTTGCCCTACTTCCATTCAGAGTCAGCTCAACTCTGGTTTCCTTTGGGTTCTTAGTCTTACTAATAATTTAAAACGGACGCGGAACGAAGGTCATGGACAATTTTTATTAAATTTCCAGGAAAAGAAAAAAGAGGATGGACACGCTGAAACACTTGTGGCCTCCAAGAGGCGGGGGATGAGAAGACTGCCTTTTAAGTTAGTCAAGGAGGTCAGAGAAACAGCCCAGAGTCCCAGGGAAACTCTTTTGGCCGGTTCCCAAGAGAGACGAACAAGAAAAGGGAGCCGAAGGGGCGGCGGCAGCTGACCACCCAGCCTGCAACCTAAGGTTCCCCGAACCCCCACGACAGAAAGGTGATTCCTCCAAGTGGTCGTCTGTCCCCCCACCTAACACTAAATAAACGTGCTTTTAAGAAGCAGGGGTCGGAGAGACGGCTCGGGGGTTAAGAGCAATTGTTCTGACCCGGGTGAGGCCAGGCCCTTCGTTGGCACACGGCTGACGCACGCTCATACATGCAGACGCAACGCTAATGCACAGGAAAGTAAAAAAAATAATAATAAAAACAGCAATTAAAAAAGGGAGGACACGCTCTCAATTCAGGGGGCCTTCCTCTCCAGCCGACTGAGAAAAGGAGAGCCGCGCCGTAGCCGCGCACAGCACAGTCACGTTGTCACGTTTCCTCGCTGGGCGCCCGCTTTTCTCTCCGACGCCCTGCTGCTCGGCAGCCCGGGGGGGCAGGCTTCCGGTCTCTCCCTGCACACCCGCCGCAGGACACCGGCGTCCCCGGCGTAGGAACCCGTGCCTGCCGGGCCGTCACACTGCTGGGGAATTGAAACCAGGACCCGTCCAGGGACCCCACCGCCGAGCGGAGCCGTGCTCGGCGCCGCCGCCGCCACCGCCGCCGCGTCCGACCGTAGGAGACCGGGGCGAGCGAGAAGCGCCGGCCGGGACGAGCCAGCCGCCGGGGAACGGGCAGGGAGGGACGCCCGCAAGGTTACCTGGGAGCCGGGGGCGGGGCCGGGCGCGCGGAGCCCTGGGAACTGGGGCCGTGGCCGGGCGTGCGGAATCCTGGGAAGTGCGGTCGACCCGTCGAGAGACAAGGGGAGGGGGCGGGGCGGGGGCGCGGGGAGGTCTGGGAACGGGGGCGGGGCGCGGGGCGGGGCGGCCCGGCGCGCGATCCTAACGGCCGAGGACGCTGCGCGGGAGCCCACGCGCCGGAGGCTCCGCCCCGCGTGGGTTTGAACGGAGCTCCGCCCCGCGCTCCACCAATTGGCGCTCGCGCGGCGGCGCCATGGCGACCCTTTGTGGGCGCTGAGTGGCCTCAGACGCCGACCGGGTGGCGGGCCTGCCTTGCGGCGCAGGTAAGCGGGTGGGCTGTCTGCTCCGGCGAGCCCGTAGGGCCCGGGCGGAGGCCGAGCGGAGCGCCTCCGGGGCTCGGCTGGGCCTCCGCCGCCCTTGGGCGTCCGTGACGCTGCGGCGGCGTGGTTGAGTGACACATACCGAGCGCGGCGGCGGCGGCGGCGGGTGCGAGCCGGCCCTCCCGCCCTCCGCCCACGCTCCCGAGCTTCCGCCCTCTCTCTTCCTGCTGTGGCCCCTTCCTTTCTGTGTCCGCCTCCCTCCCTCCCTCCTCTCCTTTCTCCTCCGGGGTCCCTCCTCCGGCTCAGTCCGCGTCGGCGTCCCAGCTCTCGGCCCGTGTGGCCGCCGCTGCTGTGCGTTTCCCTTGAGAACTGCGCGTGGCTGCGGTTTTTGGGGGGCGCGAGGCTCTGCCTGGCTCCTAGCAACGCCGAGCTCCGAACGTCTGCCTGCTGGCTGGGGGCGGATTCCCCGAGGTCAGGGTGGGCTCCCTGCAGCCTCCTCCTGCCTGGTGAGTGTTGTCGGCCTTGAGTTCTTGTCCTTTGTTTCTTGAATTTCGACTCCCCCGAGGTTACCGAGTGTCTTGTGTTGCCTATCCTTCCCCTGCTACCGTAGACTCACTCCCTCTCCCCGACTTCCTCCTAAACTGATCATTCGTGGCCCAGTGAATACTGCCTGAGTCGGGGATCTGTGGAACTCGACGGGGAGCGGGTTTGGTCTTCCCTAATCTGGCCTGAGGCTAAATGGAACTGGGAAAAAATATGCCAGAGACCTTTTTTTAAAAAATAGTTTCTCTCACTCAAATAGGATCACCAGGGAAAGGGGGTCCTCCCATAACCCGGGACAGATGTACTGGCTCAGACAGCGGCCCTATACTTTCTCTTGGTAGCCTTTGTATCTGACTACCAGCCCGGAGGACTGAGGTAGCCGTTGATTAATAGAACCACAGGAAACATTGTCAGCACGCAATATTAAGGTTTGTGTCTCATCAGAATCCTGCGTGCAGCTTCGTCGAGGTTTTATAGATGAAATTTAAGATGCAGCCAGGAATCTCCTCCCCATTTTTAGAGGTGCTAGTCTTAGAAGGTCCAGTGTCCCTCAGGTTGTCACTGGAACCTACCACCAAGCATAAGAAAGCCCCAAAATACTTCTAAGGAGAAATCTCATAACACATTTTTAGTTAACTGTTCTACAAGATCTCAAGCAGAAATAGTGGGACAATAAACTTCATCACTGACCCCAGCAATTTTCCAGCTTGTTCTCTCCCAGTTGCTTTTAAGGAAGTAGTTTAAAGCAGTTGTAATTTCTTTAAACAGTTATTTATTTATTTAATATATATATAGTGTTCTGCTTGCATGCCAGTATAGGGCACCAGCTCTCCTTATAGGTGGTTGTGAGCCACCATGTGGTTACTGGGAATTGAACTCAGGACCTCTGGAAGAGCAGTCAGTGCTCTTAACCTCTGAGCCATCTCTCCAGCCTAGCAGTTGTGATTTTCTGCTTGTTGTTGTTTCATTTTTTGATACAGGGTTTCCTTTCACCTTGGCTGACCTCAGACTGACACTGTAGCCAGAAATACCTGTGAACTCTTAAGTCTTCTTGTCTCTGCTTCCCAAGTGTTGGGGTTATGGGTATGCCAGCATGCCCAGTTCTGAAATTATTAAATCTGATTCGCCTTAAAAATCCAGCATCCAGATGAGTGCTTGACCGGCTTCAGGACAAGGCCTGGTTGTGCTCAGTCTATTCACGTAAAACCAGACTCTGGCGGCTGCCTAAACTCATGGACGGAGCCCAGGAAGCTGCGAGTAATCCTTCACTAGAAGGCTTAAGCAACTCAGGTCAGGCTCACTGGTGACCATAGGGAGCTGTACCCAGGCCAGTCTAGGAGAGTCCCTAGAGCTCAACCATTTAGTGCTGGTTAGAACCTGTGCTGGGGATACAGACCTTCACCCTCAAGTTTCCTCTTGCTAGTCACACCGTCACCATCCTCTTCATAGCTTAGGTTCTAGAGTGACAGGTAAGCAAACACAGTGTGTTTTCCATTCCAGAGCTTTTGTCTTGGAATACCCCACAGCTTACCTTGTGACTTCTCCTCTCCTTTCTTGTGTGTGTGTGTGTGTGTGTGTGTGTGTGTGTGTGTGTGTGTGTGTGTGTGTGTGTTGTGTGGTTTACCATCAGTGTGGATGGTGGTGCCCTCTGAGACCAGAAGAGAACATTGAATCCCTGGAAGTGGAGTTAGAGGAGTTTGTGAGCCATCGTATGAGATCTGGGTACCCACCCTTCATCATCTGTAAAAGCCATCTCTCCAGCCACACCGACTTTAAAATCTTTAAATCTGAGGAGGGTGAACAGGACTGAAGGACAGTGTCTGGCCCTAGCAAGATAGGGAGTGTTGGTTAAAGTTCTGTTGTGCAGGAATTGTATGTTGTACCCTAAGGAAAAGGGGACAGAGGCAGGTTGGTGGTGGTACGCACCTTTAATCCCAGCACTGGGGAGGCAGAGGCAGGTCTACAAGAGCTAGTTCCAGGATAGACTCCAAAGCCACACAGAGAAACCCTGTCTCCAAAAAATAAAAGCGGGGTGGGGGACAGAAGAGAATTTTTAACTTGCAAAATCAGTAAATGTGGAGAGGTAGGTAGTTTTGATAGCAGATATGTAAAAATTAATGCAGAAGGGAATTGTTAGGGCTGATGCCTCCTAGGAGGGTGCTGGCTGTAGACTGCCTGCTGCGCTTGTGCATGCGTACAAGTAGGCACTCCCCAGACTCGGTGACCCGCTTGTTCTTGACAGGATAGACAACTTGTGGTGCTCAGGACGAAGAATGGGGCTGGGGATAGGGACCTGGAGAATGGCAGGGTTTCTCTGTGTGGTTAGAATTGTGGAACATTTTTCTGTTTTTTGTTTTTTTTTTTTCTAGTGAGCTGTGGAAATAACCGACCAAACAAGGGAGAGCTTGCGAGGCTGTGTGTCACCAGTGCTTCTGTAGCTGGAGTTGATTCCATCACTATTTGGCAGTCTTGAAAGCTTTGCCATGGGGTGGCTAGGGGCGGGCTGACTACATGATGAACATCTCCTGTGTGAGAAACAACACCTCCATTCTGTAATCACAGATTTAAGAAGCAAGGCAGTTTTAATTTTATGATTCTGTAGAAACGATGTCAGCCTAGCAAAAATAGCTTTCCAATTTGGCACAGAAAGTGGTTTTTAAAGTCCCTGGTGAAAAACTCTGCCTTTTTGGTTTTCTGAGACACGGTCTCCCTGCACGCTTGGCAGGCCTGGGACTGGCATGTGGCCCAGGCGTGCTTTGGACTGAAAAGATCCACCTGGACTTTAAAGGGCTTTACCATCACAGCCTACAGTTCTGACCTTGCCCCAGAGGCTGGTTCTCTAGAGAGAAGGTCTTCACATTTATCTAGCATAACCTGCTTGATGGATTCCCCATCTAATGGAAATTCCAGGGTTCCAGATCCCGCTTTCTTATTGTGGACTCTGTCACACAGCAGACTGCAACTTCTCAACCTTAGGATGAAGTAAGTGGGTCTCGACAAGCAGGCCAACTGCTACCTAGGAAAAACAGGCACCTGGTGCCTCCTACTTCTTGTCTGGTTTTCCAATGAGCCCTAAAGACTTAGCAGGGCAGTGGTGGTGCACTCTCTGCACTCAGGAGGCAGAGAGGTGGATCTCTGTATGTTCCAGGCCATCTGGTCTACAGAGAGTTCCAGGACAGCCAAGGCTACATACAGAGAAGCCCTGCTTTGAATGAATGAGAGAGAGATAAACTAATTTGTTTCTTACATCCTGTGACTGCCTATAGTAGGTAAACTGACTCCTAGGCTAGTTCTAAAATGGCACCAGAAATGCTGTACCAGGGTTTTTCTTTTGGGCCACCAACCAGCTCCTAAATCATGACACGGGAACTTCTTAGTTATGAGTGCTCAGCCACCTCAGCCTTGTTTCTGGCTGGCTCTTGTAACTTCAGCTAACCTGTTTCTTGTTTATCTGTCTTTAGCCGCAGGGCTTTTTACTTTTCTTTCCTTCTGGATATCTTACTTTCACTACTTCTTGTGTCTGCTGGCTGCCTGGCTTCTTGCCCCGGGCAAGAAAAGACCGCTGAGGACTTCTCTTCAGCCTGTACTCCACCTGCTGGTACTAAGAATTGTAGCCTGAGGGGAGGAATCGTCCAGTCAGAAACCCATTTGTTATCTGTCCTCCTGTGAGTTCTCTCCTCTGGTCGGCATACCCTCCCTGGACCTGACTGCCTTCAGTTTGAGCTATCTGCTAGATTCTCAGAGTCAGACTGGGCAGCTAGGTATTCTGTCTGCAGAGTAAGGTTTGAATTCATGTCATATGAACTAGTTAGGTTTGAGTTCTATTGTTAAATCATGAAGTCGGAATTTTAAAGATAACCCTGAAACAGAGGAACTTGCCAAAGAGGAACTTTTGGGACTTCCCACTCCCTAATCCAGGGTTTCTTGTTACACTTTGATACAGTAAATTAATTCTCAATAAACTTAGAAGTTTTATTCCAGTGCCTTTGAACATGTAATTGTTTTTTTCTTTTTTAAATGAAAAAATCTAATTTAGACTTAGTGGCTAACCCTTGTAATTCCTTCACTCTGGAGGCTGAGGCAGAAGGATCTCGAGAGAACAGCGTGTTAAACACACATACTGTCACCAAGAAGTCCCTGATGTAAAGTTACATTAGTTACCTTTTTGTCCCTGTGACAACACCTGACAAACAACTTGGGGAAGGAAGGGTTGGTTTGGGCTTGCAGGGACATGTCTAGTCGATGGGGAGGGGAGGCACAGCAGTGGGAGGGACATTGAGTCAGGAAGCAGTGATGACACCATCTGCACACAGGAAGGAAGCAGAGACTAGACAGTAGGGCTGAGCTGTACAGCTTGAAAGCTATCCCCGGTTGTGCATTTCTTGCAGCAAAGCCTGACCTCTTAAAGGTTCTGTGATGTCCGATCAGCTGGGGACCAAGTGTTCAAACCCAACCTAAGTATTTATTTCTAAAAGATTTTATTTAGCATACAGTGCCTACAGAGGCCAGAAGAGGCTGTCTGTCAGGTATCATGGAAACAAAGTTACAGATGGTTGTGAGCCATCATGAGGGTGCTGGGAATAGAATCTGGGTCTTCAGCTCCAAATCCAACAGAAGTTTAAAAAGAATTTGCCTGGCATGGTGTCACATACCTTATCCCAGCCCCCAGGGAAGCAAGGCTGGCCTGGTATGCCCAGTGAATTCCAGACTAGCCAGGACTGCCTGGTTCAAAAACAAAACCTAGCCAGAAGCAGTTCAGGTATGTTTGTGTGTTATGTGCAGGGGGAGGCCGAGGCTGATACCGGTATCTTGCCCATTTGCCCTCCACTTTAATTTTTGAAGCAGTGTTTTGAGTCCCGAGTTAGCCTGCTCCAGGGATCCTGTCTTTACCTCCCAAACTCTGGGTTAAAGTTGGGCCATCATACCTGCCTGGCAGTTACATGGGTGCTAACTAAGGATTTGAACTCTGATCTTCAATTGTGTAGAAAGCCTTTAACCTGCTGAGCCACTGCCCTGATCTCATGAAATATTCTTTAATTTTTAAACTTAGGTTCTCTGTATGTTCCCTGCTTTTATGTATGTGCATGCCAGAGCACTTGCCTATTTTCCTGGGTATAGTCTTAGAGCAAAAAATAAACTATTGGCAGTAGGACTCTCAATTTTTGTTTGTCTTTAGTTTCTGTGTCTTTTTTTTTTTTTAATCTGTGAAGTTACAAAAGAGCTTTAGACTCTGCATTCCTCTTTTCACTTAGGTTGCCTGGGATGTGTGGGAGCTGGGTACTTGTCCAGGCCCGCTCTCTCACCTGAGATCTGCACCCGCCTCCTGTGGCTGCCTGGTGCCTTGTCCTCAGTGCATGAGTATAAGGAGGTTTTGATTGGGGTGTGGCCTCCGGAGACTTGCTTTTCTCTGGCCTACAGCTCCACTGCGAGCTCCATCATTTTAGCTGGGTTGTTTCCAGCGTGGAACAACTGAGTGGAGTCCTGGGAACATTCTTGTACACGTTTCTACATGAGCCTTAGTATTCAAGAGGTCACATAGATTATGTAAAGTCTGTGGCACTGAAAGGAAGAAATGGTAGCCTTTTTGTGCCTATAAAGAAATCCTAACGTTTACGTATTTAGGAGATTCTGTTAAACAACCTGGCATTTAATTTCAAATGTATTATTTAAAATAAATAATACTTTTTTATTTTTAAAATAAAACTGGAGAGATGGCTCAGCAGCTAAAAGATCTTGTCATATAAATGTAAGGGCCAAAGTTCCTGCCCAAGTACCCAGATTTTTATTCTCTTTTAAATACATTTCTGTAGCTGGATGTAGTGGTATACTCTTCTGATCTCAACTCTGGGAGGCTAGGACAGGAGGATCACAAGTTCAGGGCCAGCCTGGGCTACGTTACAAGATACTATCTCAAAGCAACAATGATGCCTTATGCAAATAACATTTCTCCTGTTTGTGTGCATTTATCTGTTGATGACAATCATGCTACAGTTAGATCTCTGCTGTCTGTGACAGTGGCTGTGCCTGAGGCAGGCTCCCAGATGGTGCCTCTGACACTTCTGTGTTGTCACTTCTCTAGCTGTTGGAAACTGGCCTGGGTGCCATCAGTCAGGAGGCTGAAGTATGCTAAATGGTGTCTTCCTTGGTTCCCACAGGGCACGATGTTTGCTAGAGGGCTGAAGAGGAAATACGGTGACCAGGAGGAAGGAGTAGAGGGTTTTAGCACTGTCCCTTCCTATAGCCTGCAGCGGCAGTCGCTCCTGGACATGTCCCTGGTCAAGCTCCAGCTCTGCCACATGCTAGTGGAGCCCAACCTCTGCCGCTCAGTCCTTATTGCCAACACAGTCCGGCAGATCCAGGAGGAGATGAGTCGGGATGGTGTGTGGCATGGAATGGCACCCCAGAATGCAGAACGGGCACCAATTGACCGCCTGGTCTCCACAGAGATCCTGTGCCGTACAGCCAGGGCAGCTGACGGGGAGCACCCCACTCCTGAACTGGAAGACGGTTCCCTGCAAATCTCGGCTTCTGAGCTTCCCATAGTCAGCTCAGCACAGGGGCAAAGGAGCCCTCAGAGCAGCCTCTGGGAGATGGATAGCCCACAAGAAAACCGGGGAAGCTTTCACAAGTCACTGGACCACATATTTGAGACCCTGGAGAACAAAAACCCCAGTTCTGTGGAGGACCTCTTCTCGGATGTGGACAGTTCCTACTATGACCTGGACACGGTGCTGACGGGAATGATGAGCGGGACCAAGCCCAGTCTCTGCAGCGGCCTCGATGGCTTCACAGCTGCCACCCCCCCTCCCAGCTCCACCTGCAAGTCTGACCTGACGGAGCTGGACCATGTGGTAGAGATTCTGGTGGAGACCTGAGAGGAGGCCCTGGGGGCCAAGGACAAGGCCACACCCCATGGAGCTCACCTGTACCTGACCCGGAGACAGACAAGCACTTGTCCCAGAGCGGGCCCCCGCCTCTCTGACTGACTACATCCCTGAGGACAGGGCAAGCCATTGTCAGGAACTGAGCTCTGAAGGCTTTGGGCCCTGGGTTCATTTTCCTGTTTGTGGGATCACTGTGGAGGATGGTGGGCCACAGTTGTGTCTAGTCTTTTAAATTAGGTAGGTGAACTTTCTAAAATTAAGTTTTATATGTTGTGGGCAATATTTTGTCTTAAGATATATTTTTTAAACTTTTTATACTTTTAGATTTTTTTCAGCTATTTTCTTAAAAGTATATTTTTTCTACAAACATCCTCTGCTGCTACATTAGAAACATTTATAACCTAAATAATTACAATTGGTGTGTGTCATTTTTAAGGTTTAAATAGAGAATATTTTTTTGGGAATGAGTCTCTACACTCCCAAAGCTACAGTGTAAATGCAGACAGCCAGGTGTCCCGAGAGAGGCTCTGTCGGTCTACATTGTAGGGAGGGAGTGCCTGAGATGAGCCGTGCACAGCCCCTGACGGGGTCTGCTCTGCAAGTGCTGTCTTCCTGGGCCTCAGTGCGCAGATGGTTTTATTTATGCCTATTTATGTGTAAATGCCACTGAAGGCTAAAGTCAGATGTCTGGAAACTACACCACCAGTTCTATCTCAGACAGTGCCTTATGTAGGGTTTGTCCCTGGCCATTACTCTCTGTTTCCCAGTCCAGCACTGGGTGTGACAGAAGATCATGACATCCTAACAACACTCAACACCTCATGTTCCATGTCAAGTGTGTCCGTGGAGGCTACCGGGTTCCATGCCTGTGTGTGCTTGGAAAGGGTGTGTACCATCATTCATGTCCTTGGGGACACCGTGCTTGCTTACATTAAAAATGGTGCTCGAACATTTTAAGGTTAAAAACAATCTGACTCTGTACAATTTTAGGGCCCCTTCATCCTGGGGTGGCCTCTGTGCTGTCCGAGTGGATCTCAAGGTCCCGCTACCTGACCGCATGTCAGACTCCACTCCCCTACGCATGATGTTTTGTTTCTCATAGGCTTTTTTGGACTCCCCCACGTGAGCCTAAGAGGGTTTTGTTTTTCCTGTATTTGTATGACTTCTTTAATATCAACAATGTAAACCTCACTTTATTAAAAGTATCCAGCAAATGGAATGTGTCGTGAACTTTTTTTCCATCCTAATCCTTCAACTGAGTTTGCTTTCAGTGGTCTCAGCATTTTATATGCTTTGTAATGAAGGCAAAGAATTTTTTTCGTGCTAATCAGGCAATGGGTTTATTTTTTTGACCTCATGGCTCCCAAATTCTCCTTTACCTTTCAGCCCCTGCTGCCTTCCCTGGGCCTAAGGTCGTCTGTAGGAACAGACTGGCTGAGACCCAGTCTGTGGCAGTGATCTTGTGTGTCTCCTTATAAAAGCTAGTTTAAATAAACCTAAGGCATGGTTTATGGGGTGTGTGTGTGGTTTTTTCGAGACAGGGTTTCTCTGTGGCTTTGGAGGCTGCCCTGGAACTTGATCTATAGACCAGGCTGGCCTCAAACTTAGAGATCCGCCTGCCTCTGCCTCCTAAGTGCTGGGATTAAAGGCGTGCACCACCACTGCCCACAGCATGGTTTTTCTTTACATTTTATTTATGGAGGGATGTATTTGTCACTGTGCCTGTGTGGAGGTCAGAGGACAACTTTTCTCAGAGTCAGCTTTTCCTGTGGGTCCACAGGCAGCTAACAGTCCCACCGGCTCCCTCCCTCTAGTATCTGTAGTGTCTGCTTGGCTGCCTTAAAAAGTAGGATCTTTGGAGAATGAGGCCTGTGAGCTTTAAGATGCTTGTCTTTAGAGAGCTGCCGAGGGACCAGGCTATCCAAGGCTTCTCTGCTGACCTTGGAAGGCAGCGAGCTCCAGAGTATAGCTGCCGAGTTTCCCAGGTACCTTCCGGTTTAGCCATGCACATGTGACATTTTTAGATTAGATTAAGTTGATGACTGCTTGGAAGTAGGTTTTCCACATGTTTGCTGATTTTGTTTACACACCCTTAACTAGGAATGCATGTTAAAATCTCAGCACTTGAGAAGCAGGATTGCCAGAAATTCAAGGCTAATCTAGGTAGTATCAAGCCAGGCCTGTGGTAGGCATCACTGGCCAGCGTGCCTCTAAGTAACCATTTGGTCAGTGGCAGGCCAGGAATGTAGGTGCTGCTGGCAGCTTGCCCCCACAGCTGCTTTCTGTGCGGACAGTGGGCTTGGGGCCACTCGGGTCAGAGCTGCCCCGAGGTCTTCATGCTTAGAACTGCATGCACCTCATCTTTTTTTGTATCCCAAATGTGTACAGGATTGGACCCAACAACATTTCATAAGGGGTAGGGTGGGGCCCATGAAATGAGGGTCTGTTCAGTTAAGGATGGGGAGTCACATGTTCCTGCAGACAGGGTAAGGAGATTTGGGGAGAAGGGATGGAGTGACTGATGTATACAATGGACCAACACATGGACCACGTGCTCCGCTGCCCTGCAGTTCACGCCTCATCCTTCTAGACAGTTCCCTAACTTCAGTGTGTTGCTCCAGGGGCAGCAAGCTTGTGAAGCAGCTTCCAGGCACCCGTGGTGAGGCGAGCTGCTGAACACTGCCCAGCTGATTGAGAACACGTGACTGAGAGACACCCGTGTTGTACTGACCCCTGCCCTCCTACATGCTCCGTGTATGTTGCCTCACTGCTCACCCCACCAGAGTGATGAAGTAGATCAAAGAGCAGGACACCAAGATGCTAAGTTGAAGCCAGCCAGAGAGAAGCTAGCCCCCAGCAGGTCCAGAGAGGAGAAGCTAGCCCCCAGCAGGTCCAGAGAGGAGAAGCTAGCCCCCAGCAGGTCCAGAGAGGAGAAGCTAGCCCCCAGCAGGTCCAGAGAGGAGAAGCTAGCCCCCAGCAGGTCCAGAGAGGAGAAGCTAGCCCCCAGCAGATCCAGAGAGAAGCTAGCCCCCAGCAGGTCCAGGCTCTACCAAGGGCCCCCCACCCTTTCAACTCCGACAAGTCACCATGCTGAGGAGGGCAGAAGCATAGAGAACCCGGACCAAGCAACACAGTAACACCCAAGCAAAGCCAACAGGCAAGCAAGTGAGGAAGAGGGTGGGCAGGGCTCTCTGAGGACTTGCTCCTCCCTAGCCGAGCTGCTCAGGTGCTGCACTTAGCTCAGGTTCGGCTGCCTCAGGCAGCTGGACCCCTGGCTCTCAGCATTCCTGTGTTCTGAGACGCTCCTGGTGGCTTCACCCAGCCTGCAGCTGCTACGAGCCCAAGAGGCTGGAGGGCATTTAGAGCACTTGCAGGATGCTTGTCTCCCTTAGCTTGCCCACTCCTGCTTTGCTTGACGGAAACTGCATGCGTTCAGGCACACGTTCTCGGGTGTCTAAATGGGGCAGGTGACAAGGTATTACCTCAGCAGTAAGTCTTTCCAGTGATTTCTCAGAACCTAATTCATATCCCACCCCCGAGATAGGGTTTCTCTGCATAGCCCCGACAGTCTTGGAACTCATTCTGTAGACCAGGCTGGCCTCAAACTCAGATCCACCCCTCTCTGCCTTCCAGTGCTGGGATTAAAGGCGTGCACCACCGTTCCATTTGGTAACTGATTGTTAAACTACTCCCGTGTCTCCACGTTACACGTTAGGTGTCTTGAATGGACTTCCCAAATGTTGAATACCCTTGGCTGACACCATCTCCACTGAAAGTCCCAGTGCCTGGCTTACCCCACTCAACATCGTGTCCTTCAGGCTCATCAGGGCTTCATCTCTTCCTGGAGAGACGGTGTGCTTCCTTTATCTCCCCATACACTGCAGGACAACCCAGCCGATGCCATCTTGGACAGTGAACCAGGTTGCAGTGAATGTACAAACAGCTCTTTCACAATTCCTCCTTTGGATGTTCCCACAAGCAGAAGGATTGCTGGATCACATGGTAGTTGCTTTTCATTTTGGGAGAATCTTTATACTGTTTCCCATAATAGTTGTTCTCATTTACTTACATCTCTTCATGTCCCTGCCAGCCCATCTTTAACAGTGTGGTCATGCCTCACAGAACTTGACCACTTCTCTATGGTGGATGATGGCAAGTATGCTTTTCGTATGCCTGCTGACCCTTGTTTTCTGTTTGTTTTTCTTATTTTTGTGGTGGTATCTTGTTTATACTCTACCAAAGTTTGCCTGAAGCTCAGAGGGCAGAGCTAGCCATTCGTTAACTATAGAGGTCTGGAGGTCTGTTCCATATGGTCTGTTCCATATGGTTCCAGTATGTAACACAAGTTCTAATTGGTCTTAATAAAAACCCAAAGCCAGATGATAGGGCAAATGCTGAAAGATCAGAGAGAAAGGAGCAAACCACAGCCAACTCTTACCTTGCTAACTCCTCAGTCAAGTTCCTGTCTCCTGCTTTATATTCCTCTCTCCACCCAGCCATATCACTTCCTGTCTGTACAGACGGCCAGACCTCTATGGTTAACTAGTGGCTAGCTCCGCCCTCTGATCTTCAGGCAAGCTTTATTGGTTAGAGTATAAACAAGCCATCACCACACATTTACATGTGTCTTGAGAAGTTACCTTTTCTACTGGGTAGTCTGAATAACTCACACACTTTCCAGACAGCAATGCCCCTGCCCCTGCAGCTTCCTCCTGCCAGGCACTGGTCAGTGCTGCTTCCTGAAAAGGAAAAGTTAAGGCAGCTTCCCTAAACATCGGGCACCCCTCCCTCAAATAAAGTAAAAACAATGGGTTATCCTTTTGCTATAAACCTCAAAGTATATGTCACCTAGTGGTGGCTGAGTACAAGGGTCAGACGTATTGACAGCACCTTCCTCTCCCCTCCTGAGGGGCCGTTCCAGTCTCCATATGTCCTGTCTACACTGCTGTCTGGTTCTGGACAGCTTGCTCAGTTCAGTCAATAGTGAAGCTAACATCTCCTGAGGAAGTCATCCCCACAGTAGCCTCTCCAAGAGCTAATGAGTCAGTAAGAACACAGGCTTATACAGTCTTTTCTTTTTAATAAAAGTTTACAAAATTCAGTGCTGCTTGCTAGCGTCTGCCCCTAGAAGAAAACAGTGTCTCAGCAGATGACAAAGGAAGCTTTCCTCCTGGCACACCCAGTGTGGTCTCCTGCCACCCTTCTACTCAGGAAAGCTGTCCCCAAGGTTGCTGAGTGAGGGCAGGACCCAGCACAGAGGTGCGCATTAATGCCTTAGGAAACAGCATGAGGGGATCCAGGGCCAGGGTGGGTTCTCCGACTTCTGAACTCATGGACCCAACTATGAGCCAGGCAGGGGTCTCAGGCACCTGGTGCCAACCTACAGTGTCCCCAGAAATGCTATGGAGCCCAGTGCTGCCCTAGGACATTTCCTGTGCACCCTTCAGATCTGAGTGCACGAGGTATATCATATAGTAGGTTGACAGAGGTCCTACGAAGCTAACATGGATCTGGAAAACAGAGCCACAGAACAGTTCTCAGATTCTAGTACTAAAGCCAGTAAGAATGTAAAATATCTCATAAAGGTACAAAGTACTCTTGCTTTCAGCAAACACCATTATTAAAGAACGCCATTTTTAGGTTGCGTGGAGTAAAGATCTTTTTTTGTGGAATGGTGATGTAGTGCCCATTTCCTTGTAGTGGTGTCTTCAGAAACAGGCTGTAGGTAATCAGGCTGCCCTGTCTGCTGCCAGATGTCCCTGAGAGCTGAGAGGAAAGTGGTGGTCAGGTACTAGATGTGGCATTAGGTTGCCTGCACACCTCAAGCCCCTGGGATTCTCTCCTAGGGCCCAATGTACAGTTCAGCCAGAGAACCATCCGGGTCCAGGATGAGGACAGAGCTACTTGAGTCATCCACTCGGGCCCTGGCCTCGTCTCGTCACTGCCGCAAAACTCCCCACATGGCCAGACCACGTTTGCAGCTCTGTGGCTGCCCTGCAGTCCAGAAGCTGGGTGGGTCCCTTCCTCACTGTGCTCCTGACCCTTGCACTGAGTTAGGTCACCTCAGCCCTGGCTCCTGGCTCCAGCATCCACTAGACTTCACAGATGTCCACCCTCAGAGCTGGGGTGAAGGAAGGACGTTCCAAATGTCTTGTGACTCTCCTTCAGAGGCCTGTCCTTCCAAAAGGCTGAGGGACAGTCTTGTGGGGCCTCATGACGACGCCCTTCCCTGAATGCCACAGAACCCATCACCTGCCCCACACACCAACCAGGGCTGCAGCCCACCTCAGCTGGGCGGCACCACACCGTGTCCTGGCGCTCGGCTTTCCATAGAGCCACAGGGCTGTATCCGTCCCCTTCCCTCCTGTCACCTGTCCCCAACACTACAAAGCAGACCCTGGCACACCCTCCAGTCACACCTCACCGACTGTCTTCTTCCCTGGCCCTTTGAAATGCCTGGTTGGAGGCGAGCACAAGGTCCAGGTCCAGACAGGCCTGCCCTCCCTCCTTGCTTCCTGTCCATGCCTCTTCCGGCTGGGCCCTGCTGGGCTGAGCTGATGGGCTGGATGCAGAAGGCCTCAGACCTGTAGGTGCCTCTGCCCGGCAGTCAGCCACCCGCCCGCCTCTCTTGGCATTCTGAGGGTGGAGCTTCTGACTACTCACCTTGGTCTGAATCAGGGCTTTGCAGTGGTGTAGGCGGAAACTGTTGACTGCCAGCAGCTCTTCCGGCTTTCTGAGGTCAGAACCTTCTAGAACATGACCCTGGCCTCCAGAAAGGCTCTAAGGAAAGAAACCTCTGTTACAGTGTTGCCATGCTCATCCTAACACTGTGGTATTACTCCTGGATGCCTTGGGTGTCACAGAAGGTCAGGGCCATGGCCCTCCCCGCCTTGCCTGCTGTCCGGGAACATCACCTGGTTCGTGGGCCTCCAGAACCCGGTGCTCCTCAACCTTCCAGCTCTCTAAAAGTGAGCGTGCTATAAACTGAATTCCTAAGTCCACATGCTAACTGCATTTGGAGGAAGCTGCGGGAGGTGATTAGGATTGTCAGAGTGCTGCCTCTGTGCTGTGAGCAGAGAGACTAGAGCCGGATGTGGCCTGTGGCTCACCTCATGATGCTGGGCCATGTGAAAATGGAGCCAGATGCTGAAGCAGGTACCAGAGCCACGGCTTTGGACTTCCAGCCTCCAGAACTATGACTCACATGAATATGCCAATGTTATAAACTACCTGGTCTTAGGTACTTTGTTACAGCAACAGAAAAAGAATGTCTTCGTAGTCCCCTCCAGGAAGTTCCCCTCTGTCCCTGGCGCCTGACACCCAGGAACCCTGCTTGCTAGCCTGCAGGCTGACCTCCTATGTGGGGTGTGGGTGGGTAGGGGCTCTGGGAGAGTCCCCCAGTTCCTCTCTCACTTCCTGACCAGCCTGGTGTCCTTGGGCTGATAACAGCCTACATCCATGCCCTCACCAGGGCCAAGCTGCCTTCCTTCTTGCCCATCCCCCCTTTCCTTCCCCTGAGACAGGGTTTCTCTGTGGCTTTGGAGCCTGTCCCAGAACTCGCTCTGTAGAGCAGGCTGCCTGGAACTCACAGAGATCCTCCTGCCTCTGCCTCCTGAGTGCTGGATTAAAGGTGTGCGCCGCCACTGCTTGGCTCTTTAAGTTTCTCCATTGCATGTTAGAAAATGGGAGACCTTTGCCGCCTGACTCTGGCCGGTGGCCTTGCTCTGAGGTGTGACGTCTCTGGGACTCGGGGCTTGACCTGTGCCTGCTCTGCTGCTTCACTGGACCCTGTCCGCAGCTGTCCCCAGCCACCTCCTGACCTGGACTTGGCTGGCTCCCACCTCAGACATCAGGCTTTCTTCTCGGGACCACCAAGGGGCTCCCACCGCCACCGCCGCCACACCACACCACTCACGACATTGCCGAGGTGCCTCAAATGTGCTGACCGCACACACGTCACCCGTCCATGCAGAACCCGCCCTCATCCCCGCACCCCCCCCCCGTGCGCTGCAGTAGCCCTGGCCCTGTATGCACCGCCCACTGCAGGCGCCCCGCTCCTGCCCGCCCTTCTCCTCCTGCTCTGTTCCCTCTAGTGGCTCCTGAGGCTACCACAGACAGGGTAGCACTGCATGGCCACGACACAGCGTCACCTTCCACTGCCCAGACCCACACACACCTGTCTCCCCATGCCAGCTGGGGTCCTGCACACGCATCCAAGGACACCCCATCCCCCTGCCTCCATGTCATGCTGCTGCCCTGCCCTCCCCAACTCTGCCCTGTTCCAGACTCATTCTGAGAAGCAACCACACCCCTGTGGAAGATGGCCTTCCCAGTGCTGACGGCAGGTAGGAGTCCTTACGACAGAGTCTGTACTCAACACCACCCACCTTGTCCTAAGTCACTGTCTCCAAAGTGTGCCATGCCAGTGTGACTGGCCACAGAATAGTCCACTTCCCTGTTACGGTTTCTTGAATATGAAAAATCCCCACAGGCTCCTGGCTGGGGTCCTGTTGCCTGCTGACGGTGTTTCAGGCGTGACTGGATCCACCAGTAGGTTTATAATCGCACAGCTTATTGTGAAGTGATGGAGATACTTCGGTGAGGCCTGGTTGGATGACGTGGGTCACAGGAGGGTGTCCTTGAGGGCTCTCTCTTGCCTCAGCCCCTGCCTGTTACTGCTCTCTGCTTTCTGTCCACCATGAGTTTTCTTCTGTGACACTCTTCCTCTCCCCACAGGCCCACAAACATGGGACCAGCTCACCATAAGCTCAGGTCGCTAAAATCTGAGCCAAAATAAGTCTTTTTTTCTCCCCCAGGCATTCTGCTTGGGTATGTCACCACAGTGAGAGAACCTGCCTGCTACATTCTCCAAGCCCCCTTACCTTCTGAGCGGCGTCTATGCCAAGGACAGGAAAGAGGTTTTCCCAGCAGTGAGATTCATTCCAGAGACACGGTGAAGTAGATACGGTGTCAGTGTTCTGGAGGGCTCTCCAGAGTTTCCTAGATTCAGAACTGGGAGAAAGGTACAGTCAGGACAGGAGACTTGAAAGACTTCCGGCCCCACAGCAGAGGGCCCATGAGGACTCAGAACTGGGCTCTCCTCTCTTGTAAACGCAAACATTCACTACTGACTTGTGCTCCCTTGTAACTGCCCACATGTCCCCTACCTATGTATCTTCTTGGAAAGGCCCTAGGCCAGCTTTACTGGCGTTACTCACTCAACCGTCCACAACCGTCTCAGTCACAGGACAGATGCATACAATACAGGATGCATCCTCAGGAGAATCCATGGGGAACCCGTAGGGGAATGCTGCCTGTGGCCATGTTAGCGCTGGGTGCCATGTGTGCTCAGCCCGGGAGAAGTAAAATGGCCCCAACAGCTGCAAGGCTACACAGGATGTACCCAAAGCTGCCTCATCTTTCTCCAGACATGGTTTCTGCACATATGACATGTTCCACCCTAAAGCAATGCCTGTCCTTGTGCTCCAGCGTGTCTAGCCTTGCCAAGCCTGACACCTCAGCCACCTGGGCCTCTGAAGAACGTGGCCACGGCACAGTCACCAGTAGCCTCCTGGGGCTGCCCTGAGGCAGGCACTCCTGATGGGCTACGCTTCACAGGAGCACCAGGCAGCTGGGCACTGGGGTCCAGTGTCTGCTCTCGGGTGCTTCCTGTAACTGTGGCTGAGGGTCACAGGTGTCGGGTACCACCGAGCCCTAGCAGCAGCCCCGGGAAGCCACACCAGGGACACTACTGGAGCATCCATCAATTCCAGGTCCCTCTGGAATGCTGTGGCCTACAGGTGGCTACAGGGATGCCGTGCTCTCTAGGAACAACCAAAAAGCTTTGTCAAACGACTTTAGCACACAGAAACGAAGCTGCGGTGACAACCCGTTTCCGTCTGAGTTCATTACCACAGTCTAGGCACGGATGCAAGGCCCGCGTTTTCTTCACTGCTGATCCCTAAGAAATGGTCTAAAGAACAAACGTCTTCAGTTTCCCGCTCCACTGGGACTTCCTGAAACGCAAACCTGAAAACCTTCTCATAGCTCAGGATGGACTGGAAAGAAAGAACAGTCCAACGTTAGGAGCCAGGTACACATGAGGTAACCTTATTTCGAATAACCGGCTTAACATAAATGCATCTTGTCCCTGACCACACGCTCAGGTGGTGTTGCCATCACGGGTGGCATTATTCCTCAGAATCTCCAGGCTGTGTAAAAATACAGCGAAAACCATGGGCTTGTCCGGGAACGAGTGCACAGCCAAAACTTTGTCAGGGACATGTGGAGAAGGTGGACTTTCAACACTGTCTCTGTTTCCATGTCAAGGGGCTAGGACGTGGACAGGTTCTGAGTTAGGGGAGGTGTGAGGACAGGTTCTGAGTTAGGGGAGGTGTGAGGACAGGTTCTGAGTTAGGGGAGGTGTGAGGACAGGTTCTGAGTTAGGGGAGGTGTGTGGACAGGTTCTGAGTTAGGGGAGGTGTGAGGACAGGTTCTGAGTTAGGGGAGGTGTGTGGACAGGTTCTGAGTTAGGGGAGGTGTGTGGATGTGGACGAGGTCTGAACCAGGTGGCAGAGAGGCCGGCAAGTGTTTGCGGTTCCGGGTGAGTATTACATATGCTCATGTGCAGACTTCCCTGCACTCATCCAGGGTTTTCTGTAAAATTCCCATCACCAACCAATGTTTCCTAACATTTCAAATGCGGTGGGAAAGCCCCTGCTTCAGAACACACGGGAAGGTGCAGCTGTAAGAGCGGTCCTCACTGGGGGTTCAAGGACACGGGCCTCACCAGCAGAATCTACCCAGCAGCACCTTGCCTTTCTTTTTCCTGTTTGCTCATGGGTGTTTGGGGTGAGCCGCTGCGGAGGAGAACGGCAGGGCTGGGGGGGGGTGGCAGTCACGGAGGCAAAGGTGTGGTCAGTTCTGACGGCTGAGCAGGACCCTGGACTGCCACGACCTCGTTTAGTCCTCAAGACTGGCCTGTGAGACCTGATTTTCAGGTCTGAGGCGGTCTAACCCTGCGGATTCGGGATAGGACCATACAAGTGCTGCCCCGGGCCTCAGGAGAAGAGTTCAGAGAAAGCTGCCCAGCTTCGGGCCCCCACCATGCCTGTTCAGATCCACTTCTCCGGGGTCCCCGAGCCAACCACACAGCAAAAGACAAACCAGGAAGAGGGGACCCAAAGGCTGACAAGACCCCCGCACCCTCGGTGCACAGCCTGGGCAAAGTCTAACGGCTACACAGAACACTTCCCACGCAACCACAGAAATACCTCTGAAGACGGGCCAGCCGCAGCGCCTGTCGCCCAGGGTCCACCCTGCTGCACCTGGCAAGAACCATGCTCTTTTGGGACTGAAGGGGGCCTCTGCGGATGATGTTCTGCGGCTCTCCCTAGGAGTTCAAAGGGCTGAGAAAACTGCGCAGACTTAGCCGAAGACTCCCGGAAGCCTTCGAACTCTCCCCACCCGCCGCTGAGTTCCCCCGGGTGTGGGCAGCTGAGTGTACAGGCGGGAAGACCTTCTTCCAGCCCGGAGCCGCTAGCCTTCGCGTCAGGCGGAGTCAGGGAACTGTCGTCGTCGCAGCAGATTCTCCTCGGCTCCAGACCATCGCCACTCTGTTCTGCGGCGGTCCGGTGGAGGGACCCCTCTCCAGGTTCCTGTGCCAGGTCACTCACCGACTCTGTCCTCATCTCCTGCCCGCCTTGCATCCTGGCGTGGCCAGGCCAGCCGACCCGAGGGAAAGCTGCTCAGAAGACATCGGGGTTGCCCAGGGCTTCCTGGGAGTGCTCACGTGCCTCCGTGGAGTCGACCCCTCCTGGCACGCGCGCTCTCGGGTGGCCAGTCCTGCACGGGGGGCGTGTCCTAGGGCCAAAGGAGCGCGGCGGTGGAAGGCCTGGGGGCAGACGATCGTCTGCGGACGGACGGGCCGCAGAACCCGGTCTGCGAGGCCGCGGGCTGAGGGTTGGGTGCTCGGGGATCGCGTCCCAGGCGCGAGTCTCACGGGCTCCGGGACCAGGTCCGAGGCGCGGACGGGGACGCGGACGGAGGGGGTCCTGGGCGCCCAGAGGCTCGCAGGGCGCGCACCCACCTTCGCCACCGCGACGCGCCTCCCGGCGCCCGGCCGGGAGATACCCACGGCCAGCTTAGCCCGCAACCAGCGCCGCGCGTTGCCCGGCAACGGTGCGAGCCCGCAGGCTTCCGGCGTGCTTCGCGTGGCGTCAGCACGCCACGGCGGGGCGGGGCCAACAGCGCTCCTCCACCCCACCCACCCCCGCTCTCGGGCTCCTTGCGGGGTCGCAACTTGCGGAGGGGACGCTAGGTTACGGGGAGCGCTGCTAGTGGGACCCAGCCTGCTGCTGTCCTGGCCGGCTTTCCTGCCTCCTCCGCCCTACAAGTGAGCCATTCTCATTTTGTTACGGAGTCTGGGGCCTGTGCGTCCGATGTGTCCCCCGCGGTCGCACACCTGGCCCCGGAGTAAAGCCACTGCCATGGTGCGGGGCCCCTCAGCCTACGCCCTCCTACCCTGCCTGGCCTTGGGTCCTGCGCTCCTGTTGAATGGTTTCTCAAGACTGGAGGCCGCGTGGGTCCGAGCAAGTCCGTCTCGCTGATTTAGCCTATTCCCAGACCACTCTTCCTTGTACGAGGGTGAGGGTCTGCTGCCTCCAGAGCAGGAGAGCCGCTACCTTCCCCTCGTGTGCTCACGGTCTGGTCCTGGTCACCAGCCAGTCCCCAGGCAGAGCAGGGCCAGTCTCGGTCGTGGGCGATTAGACCCTCTCGGCGTCCTGCAGCCAGCTGTGCTGGGTAGGGCTCCTGATGAACTAACTTTGCCCCCAGCCACAGAAATCCCTGGCCCTTTCTCATCTGTTCCCATCTGAAGTCAGCCTGCAGCATGTCACATCTCTACCCTAGCCATCCTGGACTAGCAGCCATTACCACTCTCCCCTGGGAAACAGGTGGGTCAGGTCTGCGTCTAAACCCAACTCCAGCCTCCTGCTCCATATGCAGATCTCGCCCTCCCCTGGACTCCCCTGGACCATGCCCTTGCACGAATTACTTGGTCTCTCATTCCCGGCCGGCCGGCCTCCTCAGAAGACCTATTGGGAAATCTGATTTAAAAGTGACAAGATGAGCTCATTCTCTGCATCTTGGACCGCAGCCTTCCCCCTTCCCTTGGGCGGACCATCCTGGCACCGTTCTGTAATTCCTGCAGGCAGAGCTCAGGACTAGGTCTTGGCTGAGCATTCCAACTCTGAGAGGCCCGGTAGGATGGTGCCAGACAGACGCTGTCTGCGCTTACAGACACTGGCTTCTGCTGGCCTCGTTATGACCCAGCAGGTCCTCTCTGTCCACTCGCGCTGCTCCAGTCCCCCTCACCCACTGCCCTTGCTGTCCTTGAGGTCCAGGGAGCTGGGACCTGAAGACTGAGGCCTGGGCTCCAAGTGGGAAAAGGATTGGTGCTGTGGCCGTCCTTCTGTCCTCGGTACGTCCCACGTCTGTCCCGGTCTCAGCTTTGTTAGGTAGGAGGAAAGACCAGAATACACAAGGTTCTAGTTCTGGGGCCACAGGCCCAGGTTGGGGCAACCTGTGTGACCAGTGAGTGAGTCAGCTGAACATGATCCCCAAAGATGTCCACGTTCTAATCTCCAGAAGCCACGGAGGCAAGAAAGCTGGGTGTGGGGGGCTCAGGCTTGTCCTACCAACACTGGGAAAACTGAGGGGGGAGGATCCAAAGTTAGAAGCCAGCCTAGGCTACATCGTGAGCTCGAGACTGGCCCGGGCTAAACGGTGAGACCCTGTCCAGCAGGAGGGAGGAAGAGAGAGGGGGATTGAGAGGGGTAGGTGTGTGACAGCACCTGTTGGAGATCAGGGATGCAGCTGTTCCAAGCCCCCCTCAAAGAAACAGCCCTGCCAACATCCAGGGTAGGCAAAGGAAGTGCCTGCCATTTTAGCCCAGTCGGTTAGGGACAGTCCTGCAGCAAACAGTGAACCAACAGACCTGGGTGTCCCCTGGGACCCCACTACAGAGGGGCCGCCCTCGGGAAGGAAGGCGCCCAGTGCTGACTGAAGGAGGTCAGACAGCCCACGTAGGCGGGCAAAGGAGGCAGCAGCTCTGCTTGGTTCAGTGAGGGCAGATTGGGCTAGAGAGAGAGAGAGAGAGAGGCCCCCAGAGTTAAGCTGTGAGGGGATGGGCTGTGAGAGGGCAGAGCCAGTGTGCCGGGCAGGGAAGGGGAGAGTGCTAACAGCCCTCCATCCCCTCCCTTGTTCCTCTCTCTCCAGCCCCCCAGTTCTCCTGCCTGGGGCAGTGCAGCTTCACCCAAACCCTCCCACGGTCACCTGACAGTGAGGACTGGTTGAGCAGACTGCCACAGAAACCACCGGTGTCTTCCAGTCTTCTGGGGGGGTCGCATCCCTGCTTCTGTGCCTGTGGTTGGTACAGTCCAGAGCTTCCTCAAGCCTCAGGGGGCTGGCCTGCTTAGTCCACTGCTATAGGGGCAGCAGGACACCCCAATATGACCTGCCATCTCCCCACTTACTAACCCAGCTGTGTGCTGAGCATCGTGAAGGCAGGGTTGGGGAGACCTGGGGACCACGCCCAGACCTGACAAGTACTCAGCGTTGAGGAGGAGGATGTAGAGGCAGGGCCTCTGGCCAAAGGGGCTCCTACCTGCTTCTGACAACCCTCCGCCCCTTTACCTGCAGGCTCGGAACCGCCTCCAGCATCCGAGCAAAGCTAGGGGCTGAGATGGGTAGGGTGGCCGTGGGGAGAGTGGCCGCAGATGCCACCACCTTCTGCCTGCCTGTGGCCTGGGGTGGGGCAGGGCCATGATGATAGCAAAACTATTTTTGCCGTGTTGCTGCGGCGGCTGCAGGATACATCAATCATTGATGCTCTGGGCATCACGGGCAGCCTTCCTGGAGAGGCAGTGGAGCATTGGGTCAGGCAAGTGGGGAGGGGCAGAGAGCAAGACAGCCATGACCATGTCAGACCCAGGCCTTTCTGTGTCTTCAGTCCCTGGGAACCCAGCTTCTGCGGGGAAAGATCACGGGGTGTCACAGAGCTGCACAACACCCCTTGAGTTGATGTTTAGAGCAGGCGTGAAGCCTTCGTGTGCTGGGTGTGGTTGCGAGTTGGGTCATCTCCCCACATGCTGGGGAGGGGGTATCAACTCCTGAGCCAGAACTTGCTGCGGGAGCCTTCCCCAGCAGGGCATCTGTCCCCAGAGGAGGACACGGGGAGGAGGCTGGACTGTAGTGTGGTGACAGGAAGTCCTGGCAGTGCACTGCTCTGCAGCGGAAGATGGCCGGGCTTCAGACTGGGGGAAGGGATAGCCCATGGAGCATAGCAGGTCTCCTACAACATGCTTTTTTCTCCCCTGCTCCCGTTCACCGTGACCCCAGGACTAGGTTTAAGCTTCAGACTACGACTGCTGGTGGTAGGGTCTAGCTGGGCCCCGGGGAGCCAAGTCTGGCTTGTGGCTGGTCCACACACGCAGGTGCAGCCTGGCTTCTGTAACAGGGTCTTCCAAAGGTGTGGTGAGTGAGCCACAACCCATGGGACCCCATGAGCACCACTCAGGACTGATCAGGTGACCCCCTGTGTTCTGTTGTACATGTCTGTGCGCACGAACCTCATTGTGTGCACAGGAGTGTGTGTGCATGTCTGTGTACTGTTACAAATCCAAGGTGGTCTGTGGTGTGTGTGTGTGTGTTGGTGTGAGTGCATGGTCTTATTTTTCTGTCTGTGCCTCTTCGCTGGGGTGGAAAAGCTCTCTGGCAGATACCCCAGGGTGTCTGTCCCTACACTGTCTGGTGTGACCTCTAGTCTAAGAGGGATCTTCCAGGAGAAGGCAGCTGGATTCCCCATGTCAGGGCCTCACCTCCTCTTGACGGTCAAGCTGCAGCTCCCGTGCCGGACTCCAGGCATCATGGGACTGCTGCCTACCAGCCCCGAGTCACTAGGCAAGAGAAGGCAGGGGAGCCCTTGGGTTCCTACCTCACATCCTGGGTCTGGGGCAATTCTCCAGTGAGCATGGCAGCCTTGCCTTTTTCTCCAGCCCTCGCTGAGCAGACACAGATGCTCTGGTCCTGCATGGCCAGGTTCTGTCACCTCATTGGGTCAAGGGCTCAGTGGAAGATGCTCAAGAGAGTCTCAGGTGTCTCAAGGGAGGCCTCACGACACCAAGCACAACCCTCCCAAGTATGCTGTCCCCAAACTGACAGTGGCCAATGGGAGGGCACACCTAAGTACCCCTCACCTAGTACTATGCCCCTAACATGACAGCCCCAGACCTGAACTGTTTGTGCTTGGGTAGCCTGGATCACAGCTCCCTCCCCAAAAAGCTGATGGGAGCCACCACGACCCCAGGTGGGTCATGCTGGACAATCTGAGACCACTTTGCTTGAACTATGTTGCCCAGAGACGAGGGACACAGCTGGGTCTGCACCCAAAAGTCTTTGGTCATTGCAAGACTGTACCTTGTCCCCAAAGCCAGATTCAGATGCACCGGACTGGCAGCCTGAGACCGTCCAGCCTGTCCAGCAGACAGAGAGACCCACGGACCCAGAGACAAGGTAGTGTGTTCTTCATGCAGGGCATTTCCCCTGGGGAGAGGGTGAGACTTGTATCCCACCAAGGCAACGCTGTGGCCTCTCCAGTTGGAGAAGGCTGCCAGGGCTCCTTCCCAGCAGTGACGGGTCTCTGTCTGACCTGCGTGTTGTTGGCAGACTGCCCAGCACTGCAGCCCAGCTGACGGGAACTGCCGAGAGTGAGCCATCCCAATGCCCACTGGCTCACCTGGGCCCCGACTCCTGTGGTTAGTTCCCGCTCGCACCTGAGACTGTGAGCACCTGTGTACGTGTGCACTCTGTGTCCTGTTGTTCTTATCTGTGTATGCGGGGGGGGGGGTTGTATGTGCGGGGAGGGGAGGGGGGACACATCCAAGGTGACCCTCGGTGTGTGTTGTGCTGGTGTGAGTGTGACTTTTGTTCCAGTGTCTGTGTGGCTTAGTCTTCCCTGCCCCCCACCCCATCTCCTTGCCCTAGAAAAAGTGGCTCGAGCGTGTACCTCCCTCTCTGACCTCCTGGCGTGGCCAGCGCATCGCCAGGGATAGTTCTCTCCCTCAGGTCTGCACCAGGCTGGGGCCAGCCAACTTTGCTTCTGTGGAAACAGAACTTGCACCCTTCCCTCCCCCAAAATGTGTCCCCTCTGCATGGCGCTCAAGAAAAGGCCAGGGAGGCCCTGCCCTCCCCCTTCAAGGCCTGACCCAGCCCTCTGTTAGTATCCAGAATGTCCCAGGATCATTGAAATCCCACCCAGCCTCGCTGTCCTCCCTCACCCAGCAGGTCTTGATGGCTCCTCAAGCTTCCACCCGGAGCCCCTCGACGCCTTCCTTACACCAGTCCCAGCCCTACAGAGGCCCTCCCTGCGTCTTCTCATCCTGCATCCCCGGGGGGAGGGCAAGGCAGTGGAGTCCTGTCATGGCCAGGTCCCCGCTGCCAGGCTCTTTACAAAAACCACTGAAAGGACAAACCCTGATCTGGACGGCTACAGGGGATCTGCCCAGGGCACCCTGTCCACACTAGCAGCTTCTAGCCTGTCCTTGCATCTCCTCTTTTTGCTTCCGAACCCCACCTTCTCCTGAGGCGCTCAGATCACAGTCATTTCCCTGTGCCACGGACACTTCCTCAGGCTGGAGATAAGGAAGCCCTGGATTCTGGGCACAGGGATGTGGTGGTCCCCAGAGGAACTTCACAAGTCTCTGCTCCAGAAACGCAATCTGGAGGAAGGCGGGGGGTGGGGTGGGGTGGGGGGTAAGGCCAGCTGGGGAGGGGGGCAGACCACATGGGCCTGGGTCCGACGGGGCGGGTCCGTTATGGGGCGGAGCCTCAGCTGCAGCAACCAATGGGCTGAATGAGACCGGCGGCGCCGCCCGCGTCGTCCCTGCGGAGTGGTCAGCGCGGGCTGGGCGGACCAGGGCGGGGCCGGTAGCCAAGGTCTGGAGGTACCCCAAGCGTTAGCCGCAGTCACAGCCCCGCTGCCCGCCCGCGGCAGCACAGGGCAACCAGGCCGTGGGCGCCGCCCTTCTCCAGGCGCATCAGCTCCCAGCCCCGACTGGATGCGCAGAGCCGCCGCCGGCCGGCACCACCAGCCGCCAAGATGTGCGACTGCTTCCACGTGGTGCTGCCCACCTGGCCCGGAGCCCCCGGCAGCGGTGCGCCTCACCCCCGCCTGCAGCCCGCTTCCCTCGGGCGGGTGGGCTCTGCGGGCGAGCCGGGGCGTGACGCGGGCGCGCAGTGCGGGACAGGCTGCGCGCTCGGGAGGAAGGGCAGGAGAGATGGAATGGGGCCTGGCGGGCGGGTCTCCTGTGCTTTTTGGTCCTTGGCTGGCTCTGTGGGGCTCTGCATCTCGCTTGCACTTGTGCCTGTTTCGTGCTTCTCGCTCCTTTCCCCATCTCTGCCGCTCACTTTGTTTCTCGGGTTTCCATTACTTTGTGTGGCTCCTTGCACTCCAGACTCGCTCGCTGTCCCTGTTTTCTCTCTCACGGTTTCATCACGGTCCTCCTGTAACCCGCTGGGACGCGAGCGCGCGCGCGCGCGCTGCTTGGAGGGAGGCAGGTGTGCATCATACTGGATGGAACAGGCCCAGGGTGAGCAGGCGGCAGTCCTAGGCTAAGAGACCTGCTGCGAGATCTAGCTCCTGACCCGCTTTTGCGGGCACCACTCTGGCCAGTCCAGGACTTAGATTGGGGCTACCAGGCTATGCGCTGTGTTGGATCCACTGCGTGGCTACTGTGTGCGTGAGTGGCCAACTAGGTGTGGCTGGGGCAGGGCTAGGCTTGAGGTCTGATTCTTCCTCCCTAACGAGCCGGAGTAGGGTCCTGTTGCCCCGGTCAAGGGGATTGACACCCCCTCCCACGGTCAGGGCCTCTCTTGCTCAGCATCTGCTGCAGAGTGGGTACCTGCTGCTTTTATGTGATGGCCCCTGTCCTGGCCTGGGCCTACCCCTGGTGTCTCGGAGGGCAGGGTGGGGCAGCAAGAAACTGTCCTTCAGACTCTGGGTCAGTCTGCAGCAGCCTGGCCACGCCCAGGGCACCTGGCCAACCCCTGGCCACGGGATTGGGACGAAGGAGGTGCACCGGTACAGGCTGAGCCCCTCTCTTTGGGGAAAACGAGTCTGTGACAATGGTGAGGATGAGACCATTCATGATGCAGAGTGCTACCCAGAGGGGTGGCCCCTCCTGGCATCATCGCCACCCAGAGTGGAGCTCCCACAGCCCCTCGGGTGATCTATTTGTCTGGTGTGGGATGAAGCTGGATTGGAGCCTGGGACTCTTTGAGAACTGGCTTTTGCTGCCCCAGGGGGGTTCTCCTGCTGGGATTCTCCCACATACAGATGGGGGCCCAGGGGCCCATATAAGCCCCACTAGCAGTGGGAGAATGCTGGGCTCCCACCCCTCCCCTTTTCCCATTGCTGGCCCTGGCCCACATCACAGAAGATCCCCCCCCCCAGAGAAGCTCAAGGACATAGGGCTGCGCTGTCTCCAGTTTGCATGAGAGGCTTCCTCGTTCTCAGGCTCTGGTTGAGGCACCACCTTACTTACATTAAAAAAAAAAGATTTATTTATTATGTACACAGTGATCTGCCTGCATGTATGTCTGCAGGCCAGAAGAGGGCACCAGATGGTTGTGAGCCACCATGTGGTTGCTGGGAATTGAACTCAGGACTCTTGGAAGAGCAGCCAGGGCTCTTAACCTCTGAGCCATCTCTCCAGACCCCCGCCCCCAATTTACTCACATTCTGTACCCCATCCCCAAGGGTGTGCCTTTCCCACTCGCTCACTCGATAGTGTTTCTTCCCGATTTTAACTGGTGTCTCCCCAGCTTGTCTGGAGCAGTTCTCCTTGTGTCCACCTGCTCTTAGGGAGTTAGAGCAGTGGCCTCTTCTGCAGCTCTGGTAGGAGACGTTCAGGATAAGGGCCTGGATGGTTCTGCCCAGGCTGTCCTCAACCCTGCACGGAGACCCAGGATACACATTCTCCAAAAGGACACTCCCTGAGGGTTGAGGGGGAGGGTTGGGTTTAGGCTTTTTACCAGCAGTACCTGGTCTCTCAAGCCCCTGGTGCCCCTGGCAATCAGCTACCTCCAAAGTCCAGAGCAGAGCCACCGTGGTTCCAGCTAACTTGCTCAGAGGCTGCCCCCTGGTGGATGTGCTGGGGATGTACCTACACGAGATGATGCAAGGGTGGGGAGGGGTGGAGCCGTCTAGGGATATGCCCAACCCAAGAGCCTTCACCCGCTGTGAGACAGACCTTACACAGGCTCCCTAACTGACATCGGGAAGTTTACCCCCGTAAGTGCTGGGTGCCGTACCCTCAGGGCATGTATGTGGGTTTCTCCCCAGAGGCATAGCCGAATCTCAGAGAGTTAGAGTGACGGGCAGTCATGTTTTCCAAGCCGTGGTCCGGGTGCCGTATCTGCACCAGCCTGGCACAGCCTAGGCACTAACTCCCAGCGTTCTTCAAGAAACTCCTGGTGCGTCCAGGGAGTCCCCAGGTGCTGTGGCATCATGAGGGATGTCTGGATGTTCTTTCTTTGGAGTTGGGAGCTGTGGTGTGACTACCTCTTTCTCCTAAAGAGTATAGGGCCAGAGCAGATGTTTAGGTGCCCAGTCTTGGGGTCGGGGTGTAGGAGCAGACCTGACATCTGTGCCCAGGAGTGCCTGGGCTGCCATGCTGAGAGAGCCGTGCCTTCAGTGAGGCCACGTGCTGTGCTGCTCTGTCATCTCCTGGGTGGGGTTGCCCATGCTGGTAGGAATCTGTGTTCCTGTTCTGAAGATGGGGTACAGAAGCCCGAGGCAGGGACGCTGAGCCCTGCATCATGGTGGACCTCTGTAGGCACCCAGCCGAGAGAGGGGATAGGTGGCTCTGAAAGATACCAGCTGTCCTGTCCTGCCAGGCAGGGCAGAAAAGAGGCTGGGCTCTGCGGCCCCTCCTCAGCTTCGCAGGGTCCACGGAGAGGCACCGAGGGGGAAGCCATGGGTATTGGTTAGCTGGGATCACTTCCCTACTTGAATGAGGTGGGCTAAAAGCTGTGTTGGGGGCTGTAGGAATCGCTAACAACACCCCAGGGTCTTTTCTATTCTCTATTTTTTTTATTTTTGAGGCAGGGTTTCTCTGCACAGCCCTGGGTATCCTGGAACCCACTCTGTAGACTGTGCTGGCCTCAAACTCAGAGAGCCGCTTGCCTCTGTCTCCTGAGTGCTGGGATTAAAGGCATGTGCCACCACTGTCCGGCTAGGCTCTTCCTTTGGATGACTCAGGGGACAGGGCTGTGTTCATCCTGCTCTCTCTAAGCCCCAGACTGCACCTACATTTTTTTTATTATCAGCCAAGAAAGGGGTGGTTTGGGCCTGAGAGTAGGGAGGAGGATGGAGCTAGCAGACCCCCAGCCTCCCAACCTCCTGTGCTGGGCAGCTGTGCCCACCTCCACGAGGCTGGGCCTGCGGCAATGCCCTTATGTCCTCTCTCTGATCAGACAGGCTCGTCTGTCCTGGGCGGCACTAGTTGCTGCCTCTGATGGGAGCATTTTACTAGCCTTCTGTGTCCTTCCTTCTATGACCTCCTCCGTACCCTTTCCTGAAGACGTCTGTGTTCCAGGCACAGCTTGGACCGGCTTGGCTAGGGAGGAGAGGCTTGAGCCCTGGCAGTGGAGCTCTTACTTACCTGGGCTTCTCTGCCACCTGGGAGCAAAAAGTCAAGATCTCACTGGCTTTGTCCTCTGCCCAGGGAGGAGACACATCCTGCATTCAGGGATGGTGTCAAGTGTGAGAGATGTCATTCATCTCTTCCTGTCCATCTGTGCCTGAGAGCTGACGCCACTGCCCCCTGGAGGTCCCCAGACTTAGGAGGGAAAGCAGAGATTTACCCATTGCTGGTCCAGCAAGTGGGAGGTGGCCTGGGAGGAGTCACGGAGGGCTCACAGGTGTCCACGAGGAGGGGGCCACAGGCAATAGTAACCTCGTCACCAGCCTGGATCTGGGTAGTTCTTAGATAGGGAGCAGGGTCTGGGGGTATGGGGTTGGACAGAGGGAAGGGTGTATCTGCGAACCCAGGGAGGTTTAGTTTGGTGGAAACTCCCAATTTTGGACCCCACTCCAAGGGAAGCTGTTGTTCTGTGAAGGGCATGTCTCCAGGGGCCCTGTCTTCCTGTTCCCTGCCTCTGCCTCTGGGTTTCCCTTCATTTTTCTTTTTTTGGAAGTCATGGGCCAAGGGAGCCAAGGCCTGCTTTGCTGGGATAAATATTTAATAGTCAGAAGTACTTTCTCAGATGGAAAATTGGATCTGGGCCCAGGAGGCCTGGAGCGGGAGGGCCGTGCCCCCCATTCCCCACACCTGCACACAGGGCAAACACACTTCCGGCCACTCCTGCCGCCAGCTTCTCCCTGACCCCAGTGTGGACCGGAGAGGACAGAGGACCATGAGGGTCCTCTCCAGGGTCCTGGCGTCCCAGTGATGAAGGAGGCGTGGCGGGCAGAGTCGTTGGGTGTCATGAGGCAGACCAGGAAGGGATTTCAAGTCCGGACACAGTGCTGGTATCGAGGGTACCAACGGCCCAGGGCCTCAACTGGACCTGGGCCTCCTGGTCCACAGGCTTGTCACCTGCCCCTTAGGAGCTGCCCCGCACAGGGGCACAGGGATTTCTTCCCAGGTGCAGGTGACTCCACCCCTCCCTTCTGAGTCAAGGCCCCTGCTTGCCCTGAGGGGAGATGAGAGCAGGAACCGGCTGCAGGCTTTGAGCTCAAATAGCCTTGTCCCTCCCGAATGTCGTCTTTGATTCCCTGGTGGCCCTTGTTCCTGAGAGCTGGACCCTCTGGGAGGAGGAGGAAGAGCAGCCTGCACAGGTGCTCGGGTCAGCCCATGACTGGGTGGCTCCTCCTTGGCAGGCCTCGCTAGAGGGTGGGAGAGTGGCAGCACCCAGGCCGTGCCGTGACACATCCCCCGGGAATGCCCTCGGCTGAGTCACTATCAGCTGCCCCCAGCCCCACCCGGTCTTGTCACTGCCAAGTTCCCATGGCACCAGAGAGTTGGGCTAGGGGACCTGGCAGCTTCAAGCCAGACATGCCCGTGCAGTGGGGCCTCACTCGGCACATCCAGACACCGAGGCCTCAGGGCCTGTGACATGTGACTCAGCAGGTGCCCACGGCCCTCCACTGGCTCACGCCTGACCACTGGGCCCTGCTACATAAAATCAAGGGTCGAGCAGGGTGTGTGTAGGCACCCTTAAGACCTGAGGTCAGCCAGGCCCGCTGAGAGCCGAGTGAGCCCCTGTGGGCTGGATGTGGGCCCGGAGCAGCTCTCGAGGTCCTTCAGAATCACAGCGACCCTGACTTCCCCTCCCTGCCATCCCCTGTCCCAATCCCCGTCACCTCAGGAGCCCTTGGTGCGGTGGAGATGGGAGACGGCAGTAGGTTTCTGTAGCAGAGCCTATGCTGGGGGATCATGACCCCCCTCAGGTTGGGAGGATGACTCAGCCACCCTGGAAGCTGCAGGTCCCTTTGTAGGGAGTCCCTCTGCTACAGTGAGGTGGGACTCCGCCTAAGGCTAGTACCATGGTGATCTCAGAAGAAGCAGGGGGAGTCAGAAGGCACCGTGGGGGGGGCTCAGGGGCAGAGCGGGGGCCTGACTGGATTGGTCACCAGGCTCAGGAGAGTACACTGTGGCAACAGGGACCTGCTTCCTGCCAGCATCCTTCCCGCCTCGCTCTAGCGATCCTGCCCTGGCTTGCCACTGCTTGCTGACTCAGCCAGCCTCGCCCCACCTAGAGCTGACAGTTTGGTCTGCTGTGGGCAGTAAACAGAGCTCCCAGGTGAGAGCAGCTAGGGAGAGCGGCCCTGGAGCGGGAGGTGGGGAGACCTTGCTCCTTTCCTGTGCAGTGCAAACAGAGCCGTTTGCTCCTTTCATACCGCTAGGTTTTTAGGGCAGGGTTGGGGGAAGCCTGCCAGTTCTTCCTCTTCCAGGACAGAGGAGATCCCTGAAGTCTCTCTGCCTATTTGCCCACCAGTGAGTCCGGCCTCCTCCCTTCCTTGGAGTTCTCAGAGGCAGCTCTTGGCTTCTATATGCTTACTGGCTCTTCCAGTGGCTCTCATTCCGGGGCCCATGTGACGGTCTAGGGCCTGGCACGTTTGGCGGGTCTGCCCGTCCGTATTGACCCTTCCCTGTCCTGGACCCCTTAGCTGGCACATCTAAGCTGCTGCAGCCTGCCCTTAGGTTCAGGTGCCCACGGCCAGTCCTGGGATCCCAACTATAGCTAGTACAGCTGGTGACTGCTGCCCAGGCCTGCTGGATACCGAGAGCAAAGAGGGGTTGGAAACCAGAAGCTGGGGGTGGAGAGGGCAAAAGGTGTGTGAGAGGGAACAGCTCTGGGCAGTGGGTGGCTTGCAAAACAGAAGGGTGGGAGGGAAGTGCAATGGTCAGTTCTGAGGTCCAGCCTCACCTATATCATGCAGTACCCTCTCCCATCCCCAGGTGCAGGAGATGCCATTTGCCAAAGGATTAGAAAGGTGTTGTTTTGGGTGTCTTCTCCTTTTCTTCTTCTTCTCCTTTTCTTCTTCTTCTTCTTCTTCTTCTTCTTCTTCTTCTTCTTCTTCTTCTTCTTCTTCTTCTTCTTCTTCTCCTCCTCCTCCTCCTCCTCCTCCTCCTCCTCCTCCTCCTCTTTCTCCTCCTCCCTTTTTTAAAAGACAGGATCTCATCATGTATCTCTGACTCTTCTGGAACTTGTCATTTAGGCCAGGCTGGTCTCAAAACTCACAGAGATCTGCTTGCCTCCAGCTCCCCAGAGCTGGGATGAACCACCACACCCAGCCCCTTTCCCATTTTTGAGCCCCCAGCCACCGCAGGGAAACTGAGGCCCAAGGCTTGGGAATGGGAGAGCCAGCTTTATGTCCGTATACCCACACAGCAGCAGGCGGGTGCTCACACAGTTGGTAACTGGCTGGGCCAGTGGTTGTGAGTCAGACAGCAGGCGTTTCCTCTCCAGGTCAGCTGCCCGGGCTGGTGGGGGTGGGGAGCTGGGGTGGGGTCCCTGGCCTTGAGAGGGGAACCGCCCACTCCCTCTGGTAAGGGTGTGTGCCTGTGTTTGGGAAAGGGGGGTTGGCAGGGCGCACTGAGCCCGACTGAAGACCAGGGAGGAGGGACAGTGAGGGGAGGGGCTGCGGAGGGGCGGAACTGGTGGGAGGCAACCAGCCCAGGATTTCTTCTAGACAAGTTTGGAGTCTTCTTCTTCGAGAAGCGGCTGCATCCCTTCTGCACCCCTTCCCCTTCTGGGCTCAGCCCTGCAACACCTGCCCCCTCGCCACTCAGCAGGTCAGAGGGGGCCGGATGGGCAGCCAGCGAGGGAGGCTGGAGGGGCAGAGCTGGGCTGGGCATCTCCCTTCTGTTCTGCTCCCTGCCCATGTTGAAGGACAGGGGCGTCAGGGGTTTTTTTTTTTTATGGCTCCAGCTAGCTTGTGCCAGGGCCAGCCAGGCTGGGTTGGGAAAATGCTAGCATGGAGCTGTTTGGACCCCAGATGGCCTGGAACCAAGCAGGCCCTGGGACAGTACCTCCCGGTTTGCATTCCAGGCTGCGAGTTGCTGCAGAACCGCCAGCTGCCTGTGCCCCAGCTCCTGACTGGTGTGACTAGTGGTTTTTACTTGGACAGAGCTTGGGTAGTGAGGGACACTGGTGCCAAAGGTACCAAGTCGCTGTTTTAGTAGCCGGACACAGAGCTGCAAGGTTTGGGCCTTATGGCCTAGGGAGGGGTCCTCAGACGGGGACCACTGACCTGGTTTGGTGTACAGAGGCCTGGGGTGGCTATAGGGGTGGGACTGGGAAGTGGGCTGCCCGTGATGGGCCCCAGTGTCCCTGGTGGCCAGATTTTTGCCCTTCCCCTCAAAGGATCAGAGTGGCTGGTCTGTTCTCGGATGGCTGAGGGTGTGGTGGCCATCCCTGCTGGCTTTTGAATCTTTGGGGGTTGATGGGCTGGTATACTTTTCCGTGTCTCAGTTTCTCCAGATTCAGGAGCTGGCCTGGGCCCACCTGCTGCTCCTGTAGCCCACAGGTGCAGTGTCTTTCTAAGTCTGGGCAGGGCTGCCCGTTGCCATTTTATTTCGGGTCTTGAAGCAGACTCTTTCTCTGGAACCCGCGTTGGCGTGGGACTCACCGTGCAGCTCCGGAGCTGACCTCGGGCCTCCTGTCTTCCTGTCCCTGCCTCTCGAGTGCTGGGATTATATGGTCGCACACTACCACACTCAGCGTGGCCAGGAGTTCTGACCAGCTCGCTCTCTTTCCCTCCTTAGCCGATTATTGTACTAGCATTTATTCTGCACCTATTGTATACCGAGCTCTAAGTGTTTGGGATGGAGAGGCACCGACAGGACCACCTCACTGCCCGAGAGTTTGCCTCTGGGGGGGTGGGGGCGGGCAGCCCGTAAAAGTCCCGCACTGCACAGGAGCAAGCAATGCGTCGAGGCGAGCCGAGAGGTCTCACCTGGGAGATTCCAGGGAGCTTGTTTCGGGAGAGGAAAGTGCGACCATCCTCCTGGCATAGCTGGCCTGTGTGGGGAAGAGCTCTGGCCCTGGACTGTGTGACTCAAGCCCTTCAGAGTTGGCGCTGGGCCCTCAGACTCAGACTCATCTACAGAAGCGTCGGGGGATGGGGCGGGCCCGCCTGCCGCCGCCTGGGGTGTTGCTTCACAAGGTCTGAAGGTCTCATGACAGTCAGCCCAGCTTGGCTCTTGCTTTGTGAAGTTCCAGGATGGGGCGAGGCCTGGGCACATGCAGGCTGGGGTGAGCCCACGGGGACACGAGGATGCCAGTGTGAAAGCAGCGGCCTCTGCAGTGTAAGCCTGCCCTGGCCTCCACTGCTGGTGTCGGGCTGTCTGTCCCTGCATGCTCAGAGGGGCAGCCCTGTCCAGACGCAGGTGCACACTGATACACCCATGCACACAAACTCTCGGGCAACTGGAGAGCTGCGTGTCTCTCAGCCAGTTTCCTAAGGGTCCCACTGCCCTGGTAACATGCAAACAGGCCCCCCCTCCTCGAAGTCAAAGCAGGCCGAATGCAAACTCCAGTTTTGTTTAAGTGCGTGCTCCACCCTGCCTCCCTGGCCCTGGTGAGATGATCCTGAACAGAGAGGTGGCCATGGATCATGGGGACAGCGTGGCCCCTCTATGCAGCCCCTGCCTCCCTTACCACACACATCTCCCCCCCCCCCACCACCGCCGCCAGCACCACCTCCGCTGTTCATCTGTTCAACCTTAAACAGTTCAGTTCCTAGAACTCCAGCTTCTCCGAACTGGGGGTGCCCCCACAGTGTCCGTGTTCAGCCCCGAGGTGCCCTGACTGGGCATTGGCTTCCCTAGGGTCCTGTGGGCCCTTCCTGAGTACAGGTTTGTGCCCACAGGAGTGGGTTGTTAGCGGCAGTGTTTGGAACTGTGTGAGGGGGTTGGGGTGCTGGGGGCAGGCAGGGAATCTGGGGGAGTATTAGCTGACAGTGGCCAGACCTGCTAGACCCGGCTCAGGTGTGCCCCCATTTCCTCCTCTGTGAAACGGGGCTTTGGTGACTGTGTCGTTATTTAGGTGGCAGTGTTCAAGGCCGGGCTGCTTACAGAGCTGCCTTTGGGAGACTATATGGGTAGGCGGTCAGGGTGCCTCCATGTTCTCCCGGGGCCTGGGAGTCACTCTGCCCTGAGGCCCTCCATTCCCACAGCTGGACGGGTAGGCGGCCTCTCTCCCTCTGTCCTGCAGCCAGCAGAGCTTCTGCTTTCCCTCCCTGAGCCTTCCTGGGCGGCAGGGGGTGGCCAGTGTCCTGCTAACCCTGGAGTGCAGCCTTGTGGCGGGGCTCATGCCCCTTCTCGGGGCCATTGCTCTCCACCCTTAGCAAGGAAGCGGGGGGGGGCACCTTGTGGGTAGGATTGTACACTGCAGGTCTGAGGAGGGTCCTGAACCCCAGCCAGCAGGGGCCAGGGTTGACCTGCCTCTTGCTTCTCATATCCCAGCTGTCAACACAGGCTTTTCACACCCACGAGGCTCCCCTGAAACAGATTTGGAATACAGTTTTTCAGGAGTAGCCCTCTGCCTGGCTATGGGGGTCTGCCATTCTGGACCCTTGAGTAGGGAGACAGGAAGACATAGGTCCACCTGCTCTTGCCTGGCTCCCGGGAAGGGCGGTTGACCCGGAGTCCCTCCTATAGCTACCCTTGCCACGCCCCTTGCCACGCCCCTTGCCCCGCACCCCTCTTTTCACACCCCCTAAGTCAGTGTGTGGCTTCTTTGAGCAGTCCTGGCGCCCCAGCAGTGGTGGGGTGCATGGACAGAGACTGGAGGGGATGGCAATGGAGACATCTGGCTGGCACCCTTCCCTTCTACGCTCCCCCCCATGGGGTGGTGGCCTGTGGGACACGCGCATGAGGGCTCCAGGGAGACTGGGTTCCTTAGCTCTTGTCTTACCTAAGGTCAGTCTTATAAACGGGGACTGTGGCTTCCCTGATATCCCGGAGGTCGGGGTCCATGGTTTAGCCCACAGAGCAGCAGGGAGAGGTGGGACCTGGTCTTTGACCCTCTGGCCCCCCCATCCGGGAGGACCAACCCCAGGAAGCTCCATCCCCGCCCCTCCAGAAGAACAGCAGAGAAGGGAGAGTGGTCAGCGCAGATAGGCGTAGCTCCAGGGTGTGCCTCTGGGGACAGGTGTGTCAGGAGAGGCAGGGTGGCTCTGTGTATACATGGGGAAATCCAGGTTGTCCAGAGCACAGCAGGTACATCCAGAGCCCTGCTAGGCCTGGGACTCCTTGTCCCTGTGGGAATGTCATCAAGGTCAGTGGACAGGACTCCATTATTGATGGATAAATTGCCTGTGTAGCAGGGACTCAACCCCTCAGGACAGGCCGGAAGCAGGGGCGGGGTTTTATCCTCAGCATGGCTTCCCTTGTGGAGGTGGTCCTGGAGCCCAGGCCCAGCCAGGGAACACGTCCATCAGGGCTGCTCTTCCTTTGAATGTTGGGATTTTAGGCTGGAGTTCTAGGTGGGAGGAAGTTCTGTTTGCTTCTTCTGTGTCCCAATAAAGGTTATTTTATAAAGGCAGGCAGCAGATGAGATGAAGCCACTCACGGCCTTCCTGTCTTCTGAGTAATAACATACAGAGAAAGCACCTTGACATATCTTTTAAAAACTTTGTAGGGTGCTGGGTGTGGTGGCGCACACCTTTAATTCCAGCACTCAGGAGGCAGAGGAAGGCGGATCTCTGAGAGTTCCAGGACAGTCAGGGCTACATGATGAGACCCTATGTCAAGACAAATCAAAAACCAAAAATGAAAACAAAATTTTGTAGGGCAGAGATGAGCACAAGTGTCGCTAGGACAGTAGAGCATGCCGGCACCGTGGCGACATGCCGGCACCGTGGCGACATGCCGGCACCGTGGCGACATGCCGGTGCCTGTTAGCTCGTGCCTGGATGTGAAGCTGCAGGGCCAGCAGGTAGACAGAAATGGCCTCGGTCAATACCAGCAGACCGTTTTCCACACCGATTGTCCCTCATGCCTAGGATGGGACAGGAATTCCAACTGCCCACATCTTCCTCCCCTTCATCTCAGCCACTCTGCGAACGGCATGACTCCTCCCGTGGGTGTGGACGGCCGGTGGTGCATGCTGAGGGTGGTACACGCTGAGGGTAGTACACGCTGAGGGTGGTGCACGCTGAGGGTAGTACACGCTGAGGGTGGTACACGCTGACGTGCATGCTGAGGGTGGTGCACGCTGAGGGTGGTGCACGCTGAGGGTGGTGCACGCTGAGGGTGGTGCACGCTGAGGGTGGTGCACGCTGACGTGCATGCTGAGGGTGGTGCACGCTGAGGGTGGTGCACGCTGAGGGTGGTGCACGCTGAGGGTGGTGCACGCTGAGGGTGGTGCACGCTGAGGGTGGTGCACGCTGAGGGTGGTGCACGCTGACGTGCATGCTGAGGGTGGTGCACGCTGAGGGTGGTGCACGCTGAGGGTGGTGCACGCTGAGGGTGGTGCACGCTGAGGGTGGTGCACGCTGAGGGTGGTGCACGCTGAGGGTGGTACACGCTGACGTGCACGCTGAGGGTGGTGCACGCTGACGTGCACGCTGAGGGTGGTACACGCTGAGGGTGGTGCACGCTGAGGGTGGTGCACGCTGACGTGCACGCTGAGGGTGGTACACGCTGAGGGTGGTGCACGCTGAGGGTGGTGCACGCTGAGGGTGGTACACGCTGACGTGCACGCTGAGGGTGGTGCACGCTGAGGGTGGTACACGCTGAGGGTGGTGCACGCTGAGGGTGGTGCACGCTGAGGGTGGTACACGCTGACGTGCACGCTGAGGGTGGTGCACGCTGAGGGTGGTACACGCTGAGGGTAGTACACGCTGAGGGTGGTGCACGCTGAGGGTAGTACACGCTGAGGGTGGTACACGCTGACGTGCATGCTGAGGGTGGTGCACGCTGAGGGTGGTGCACGCTGAGGGTGGTGCACGCTGAGGGTGGTGCACGCTGAGGGTGGTGCACGCTGACGTGCATGCTGAGGGTGGTGCACGCTGAGGGTGGTGCACGCTGAGGGTGGTGCACGCTGAGGGTGGTGCACGCTGAGGGTGGTGCACGCTGAGGGTGGTACACGCTGACGTGCACGCTGAGGGTGGTGCACGCTGGACGTGCACGCTGAGGGTGGTACACGCTGAGGGTGGTGCACGCTGAGGGTGGTGCACGCTGAGGGTGGTGCACGCTGACGTGCACGCTGAGGGTGGTACACGCTGAGGGTGGTGCACGCTGAGGGTGGTACACGCTGACGTGCACGCTGAGGGTGGTGCACGCTGAGGGTGGTACACGCTGAGGGTGGTGCACGCTGAGGGTGGTGCACGCTGAGGGTGGTACACGCTGACGTGCACGCTGAGGGTGGTGCACGCTGAGGGTGGTACACGCTGAGGGTGGTACACGCTGAGGGTGGTGCACGCTGAGGGTGGTGCACGCTGAGGGTGGTACACGCTGAGGGTGGTGCACGCTGAGGGTGGTACACGCTGAGGGTGATGCACGCTGAGGGTGGTGCACGCTGAGGGTAGTACACGCTGAGGGTGATGCACGCTGAGGGTGGTGCACGCTGAGGGTAGTACACGCTGAGGGTGATGCACGCTGAGGGTGGTGCACGCTGAGGGTGGTGCACGCTGAGGGTAGTACACGCTGAGGGTGATGCACGCTGAGGGTGGTGCACGCTGAGGGTAGTACACGCTGAGGGTGGTACACGCTGAGGGTGGTGCACGCTGAGGGTGGTACACGCTGAGGGTAGTACACGCTGAGGGTAGTACACGCTGAGGGTGATGCACGCTGAGGGTGGTACACGCTGAGGGTGGTGCACGCTGAGGGTGGTGCACGCTGACGTGCACGCTGAGGGTGGTACACGCTGACGTGCACGCTGAGGGTGGTGCACGCTGAGGGTGGTGCACGCTGAGGGTGGTGCACGCTGAGGGTGGTGCACGCTGAGGGTGGTACACGCTGAGGGTAGTACACGCTGAGGGTGGTACACGCTGACGTGCACGCTGAGGGTGGTGCACGCTGAGGGTGGTGCACGCTGAGGGTGGTACACGCTGAGGGTAGTGCACGCTGAGGGTGGTGCACGCTGAGGGTGGTGCACGCTGAGGGTAGTACACGCTGAGGGTGGTGCACGCTGAGGGTGGTGCACGCTGAGGGTGGTGCACGCTGAGGGTGGTGCACGCTGAGGGTGGTGCACGCTGACGTGCACGCTGAGGGTGGTGCACGCTGAGGGTGGTACACGCTGAGGGTGGTGCACGCTGAGGGTAGTACACGCTGAGGGTAGTGCACGCTGAGGGTGGTGCACGCTGAGGGTGGTGCACGCTGAGGGTAGTGCACGCTGACGTGCATGCTGAGGGTGGTGCACGCTGACGTGCACGCTGAGGGTGGTGCACGCTGAGGGTGGTGCACGCTGAGGGTGGTACATGCTGTGTGCGTGCCCACGTCTGTTTCCCTCCTCCCCGGCTCCTCCCCTGCCTCCCTTCTCCCTCCTTCCTTTTGACTGGAAATTAAACTCATGGCTTCTCAAGTGCTAGGGAAACGTTCTAGCATTAAGCTATCGTCCAAGCCCTTGCCTGGTTTTCTACCGGGTAATTTAGCCCTTTGGTCTGCAAGAATTATTAGTACTCTGCGGGCAGGATGTCTGTATTTGATAAATGTCTTACAAACATCTTTGCCCAGGCTGTGGCCTGGGTTTTCACACCCTCACCAGTGTCTTTGCCTAACTCAAGATCTAAGTTTTAAGGTAGGCTGATTTCTCACTGATATCATTTGGACTAATTTAAAAGATTAAAATTATATTTATTTGCATGTGTGTGTGCGCGTGAGTGAATGTGTGTGTGTGCGCATGTGTGAATGTGTGTGTGCGCGTGTGTGAATGTGTGTGTGCGCGCTCACGTGTGTGAATGTGTGTGTGCGCGCTCACGTGTGTGAATGTGTGTGTGTGTGCGTGTGTGTGAATGTGTGTGCGCACGTGTGTGAATGTGTGTGTGTGCGCGTGTGTGTGAATGTGTGTGCGTGCGTGTGTGAATGTGTGTGCGCGCGCGCTCTCGTGTGTGTGTGCACGCGTGTGTGAATGTGTGTGTGCGCGCTCACGTGTGTGAATGTGTGTGTGCGCGCTCACGTGTGTGAATGTGTGTGTGTGTGCGTGTGTGTGAATGTGTGTGCGCGCGTGTGTGAATGTGTGTGTGCGCGCGTGTGTGTGAATGTGTGTGCGTGCGTGTGTGAATGTGTGTGCGCGCGCTCTCGTGTGTGTGTGCGCGCGTGTGTGAATGTGTGTGTGCACGTGTGTGAATGTGTGTGTGCACGTGTGTGAATGTGTGTGTGCATGCGTGTGTGAATGTGTGTGCACGCGTGTGTGAATGTGTGTATGTGTGTGTGCGCACGCTCACACGTGTGCACAGGGACCCATGCCATGGCACTTATGTGGAGGTCAGTTCTCCCCACTCATCTTGAGTTGCTGGCTTTGATTGACAGGCACCTTTACTTGCTGAACCACCTGTCTCACCAGGTCCAGGGCTGGCCTTTACTCCATATTTCTGACAAGCCGGTTGTCAGTGGTGTATCTGTGTGTTGGGTCACTTTGTCTCAAGCATCTGACCATGGTTTGTTCCGTGAGGATCTGTGTTTCTCTTGCTCGGAATTTGTCCAGGCTCTGGGACCTGTCACCTGGTTCCTTCCATTGTTTCTTCGGCGAGTTTTTCCTCCTGTCCCTCTTTTTCCACAGACTACTGAGGCTCCACTCTGCTCTGCTCATCTTCCTTCAGCTTTTCCTCTTGTGTTCCTCAAACCGGCTATGGGATACAGTTTGAAGCACTTTCTTTAGTTTCCTCCAATCTACTGTTGAGTCTCTCTAGTCCACACTCTGCTCCAGAATTTTCAGTTTTGGTTTTAAAAACTCAGGGTTGAATTTATTAATTTTTATGTGATACATGGTAATGTCAGATTGGCCTGATATTACAGTTGAGGATAATTTTGTACTCACAGTCCTCCTGCACTCACCTCCCAAGTGCTGGGGCTGCAGGTGTGGGTTTGCAGGTGTGGGTTTGCAGGTGTGGGTTTGCAGGTGTGGGTTTGCAGGTGTGGGGTTTGCGGGTGTGGGTTTGCGAGTGTGGGTTTGCGAGTGTGGAGTTGCGGGTGTGGGGTTGCGGGTGTGGGGTTGTGGGTGTGGGTTTGCGGGTGTGGGGTTTGCAGGTGTGGGGTTGCGGGTATGGGGTTGCGGGTGTGGGGTTGCGGGTGTGGGTTTGCGGGTGTTGGTTTGCAGGTGTGGAGTTTCAGGTGTGGGTTTGCGGGTGTGGGGTTGCAGGTGTGGGGTTGCAGGTGTGGGTTGCAGGTGTGGGTTTGCGGGTGTGGGTTTGCGGGTGTGGGGTTGCAGGTGTGGGTTTGCGAGTGTGGAGTTACAGGTGTGGGGTTGCGGGTGTGGGGTTGCGGGTGTGGGTTTGCAGGTGTGGGGTCGCGAGTGTGGGTTTGCGGGTGTGGGGTTGCGGGTGTGGGGTTGCGGGTGTGGGGTTGCGGGTGTGGGGTTGCGGGTGTGGGGTTGCGGGTGTGGGTTTGCGGGTGTGGGTTTGCGGGTGTGGGTTTGCGGGTGTGGGGTTGCGGGTGTGGGGTTGCGGGTGTGGGGTTGTGGGTGTGGGGTCGCAAGTGTGGGTTTGCGGGTGTGGGGTTGCGGGTGTGGGGTTGTAGGCGTGCACCCCCATGCTGGGTTTTGCAACCCTGGAAATTGAAACTGGGCTGTGTGCATGTGAGGCAAGCAGTCTCCCAAGTTAATTACATGTGTAGCCCTCGTACGTTCTCTTCCTTTATGAGAGCCCGCCATAGGTCTTTAACACTACAGATGGTTTCCTTTCGGGTTTCGAGTAATCTGTCAGTGATTGGTTGGAGTGTGTATTCAATGCACACCTGCAGACTCTTGGCGACACCTTCCGTCACTTGCTCTGCAGTGTGAACCTCCACCTTCTTGTTTCTTTTTACTGCCTGCGATTTTTTTGGATGGATGCTGGACATTTAGCAGAACGTATTGCAGCAACTCTGGATGTTAGTTCCAGGCTCAGGGGTAGTTACTGTGTGTGTTTCTTCTGCACGTTAGCGCACTTTATCTGCAAGTCTGTATAATGTCCCAGCCCCCACCTCCTACCCTACTCCTATCCCGCGGTTGCTCCCACTCTGCCACCGAGGGCCCCTGGATTTTCCCTTCGTTTTCCCGAGTTCACCTTTTGGCCTCCTGCCCTCCCGCCCACTAACAGCTCGTGTCTCCACAGTGTCCGGCCGACAGCTGCAGCAGCAGCAGGAGCCAGGGGCTGAGACTGAAGAGAATGACTCAGTGAGTGTCACCCCAAGGGGAAGCCCCTCCTCTTCAGCCCCACCCCATCCTCCCCCAGGCTGGAGAGAGAGAGAGAGAGAGAGAGAGAGAGAGAGAGAGAGAGAGAGAGAGAGAGAGAGAGAGAGAGAGAGAGAGAGAGAGAGAGAGGGAGGGAGGGAGGGAGGGAGGGAGAGAGCGCTGGCGGTCTGAGGTGACTTTATTCTCTCCTGCCAGGTGACTGAAGGCCCTGTGGGTGAGATCATTCGGCCAAGGCCGCAGGGGTCCTCACCTGTTTATGAGTACACACCTGAAGGTGCTGGCTTTGGAGCCCAGGTAAGCCTGCTGGGTGGGAACTGCTGGCAGAAGGCAGGCTGGGGTGTGGCCCCCAGGCACCATCACCCCCTGCTCACCAGTGTCTGTCAACTCCTCCCTGCTGTACGCATTTCGTCTTGCCCCGTCCTTCAGTGACCCGTCTTTTAGCTGCTTGAACCACTGTGGAGTGGGGGCACTTGCAGTTCATATGTGCGTGCGTGAGTGCGTGCGTGTGTGCCAAGCTCTGAGAACCCATTGTGGGAAGAGGCAGGGGCATACTCCTTCACAGCATGTACCTGTACACTCACACTGTCTTGGAGAGGAGACTGTGGACTTCCTTGTGAGAGGGGCCATGGCAGTCCGCACTAAGGACTCGTTTTATACTTTGAACAATCTTCCCCACTCTAAAGCACCCCCAGCTGCTTGCAGGGTCGGGGCACGCCTGTACACAGCGAGGAAACAGGAGGCTGAGAGTTGTTTTTCCCAGTGAAGTCTCTGGGTACTCAGCTCCCCTGTACGCTCCGCACCCCCGGAGTTCCTGCACTCTGGCATCCTGGGTTCTCCTGCCTGGAGCCTCCCTGGCACTGCTGTCTCCTTAGCAGAGTAAGGGATAACTCCCAACCCTTTGACTGCAGGGAAACAACCAGGGCAGGCGCGGTGCCTCTGGCAGAAGGAGATCCTGGTGGAAAAGGGATTCAGGGGGAGCCCCAGGCTTCTCCAGCATGAATCATGCAGAGGTAAGTGCCCTAACAGTGGCAGTTGGGATTTCCCTTCCACAAGGGCTTCAGCCACAGGAGATGGAGGGAGGGGCATACCCTGTGCCCTGGGGATAGTGCCCCTGTGCCTCAGGCCTGGGAGGGGCAGACACAGAGGCTAGTGTCTACCTTCTAATGAAAGAGTCTGACTTCTGACTAGCCTGTGTGTAGCCGTGCCTCAATGTGCAGTGGACAACACTGGAGAAAACGGTACCCGGGCTTTGGTGAGGCAGGGCCTTGGCCAAGGGAGATGGGAGGGGTTCAGTGGGCACCCATCAGGGGGGCACTTTGCCTCAGTGCTTTCCCGGAGAGTTTGGTGGACACCGGCGGTGGCCATCACTCGCAGGATCACGTGGGCTGCACATTTCCCCAGTGTTCAAGCCCCTCCCGGGACCCAGCACTGGGGCTTTACACGGCGTGGGTACTTCACACATTCGTAATGAACCAGGGAAGGGTCAGCAGATGGGGGGCTGACAAGAGCCTGTGGCCTGGGGACTCAGCTGCATAGACACACTGTGCCCTGTGGGGACAAGGTGAGATGTTTCCACCTGAGGCTGCCTGCGACTGGGGTGTCTCCAAACCCCAGATGACCAGAGCGGTCTGGTCCACTCGGACGGTGCCTCAACTTCTACCCAGGCAGCACAGATCACCATCCTTGGGAGATACTGACCACTGCAGGGATGCCCGTAGGAGATGGACAAGCGCTCGTCATACCTTTCATGTTCTTCTGCCCCAGGATATGCAGGAGGCAACCGAAGTGACGCTGACGACTGAGGTAGAGTCAGGAGCCAGTGGCTACAGCGTCACAGGCGGAGGGGACCAGGGCATCTTTGTCAAGCAAGTGCTGAAGGGCTCCTCCGCTGCAAAACTATTCAGCCTGAGAGAAGGTACCCCACCTGTTCCGTCGCCGGGGGCTCCATGGTCAACACCAGGATGGGGGGCAGTGGAGAAACCTGGAAAGGCTTGGGATGACCCCATGGGCTTTGCTCAAACACCCCAGGCTGGGACTTCCCACTGTGCCCGGGTTTTCTGGGTGCCGCTTGAGGCGCCACCGGGGAGCTGGGCATAGGCTGCAGGCCTTCTCTTTGCCAATGCAGCCCCCGGGCCACTTGCAGTCTGGTGGGGGCTGGAACCCTGAACCTGGTTTCTTCTTCCTTTAGGGGACCAGCTTCTCAGTGCAACCATTTTCTTTGACCACATGAAATATGAAGACGCCCTGAAAATCCTACAGTACTCAGAACCATACAAAGTCCAGTTCACAGTCAAACGGAAACTCTCGGCCAGCAAGAGAGAGGAGTCAGCCATTGAGCACTCTCAGCAAGACTGGAAAGGCCAGGAGAAACAGGTAAAGTCCTGCCCAGGGGCCCCTTCCTATGGACAGTGTCTGGGGGCCCATGCGATTACACCCAAACTAAACAGCTTCTTCTCCTGTTTCAGGGCCAGGACAATGCTGATGGATACATGGAGACCCCTACAAAGACTCTCCAGGCAGATGGAGATCGAGAAAGACTCATTTCTAAGTCCAGGGATGGTCACCAGAGGCGGCCCCAGGACAGACTCTCCTGGCCAAAATTTCAAGCCTTAAGGAGCAAGCGGGGGACAGGCCCCCGACGTTCACGCAGTTCCTCAGAAGCCTCAGAGCACATGGACACATGTGATGTGTCCCCAACAAGCACAGACACGGAGGCCCAGCTGACAGCTGACAGCCAGGGGCAGAAGTCGGGGTCAGGAAGACGAAGAAGGAGGTTCCTGAACCTGAGATTTGGGATGGGTTCAGCACAGGGTGAGCAAACACACAGAGAGCCCCAGGACAGGCAAGATCATGCTGGAGAGCTGCATGAGACCCAGCCACAAGAGGACGAGACGGAGGCAACAGGGCTCATGCCGACTCGAACTGCGCAGACGCCCAAGGAGGCCAGCCATTCCAGCTTAGGCAAGGGAGGCCATGGAGAAATGGCAGTGAAAACAGACAGACAACAACAGAAGAAAAAGCAGTTAGCAAAACAAGAGAAGAAGACAGTGTGCAAGCTTGGAGCTGAGCCAGGCCAGGGAAGGAGCTGGGATGATGAATGGGAAGAGGTGGAAAGTCTGGAAATTGGCATTGCGAGATTGTCTCTGCAAGACAAACCTGACCAAGGCGGCACACAAGTGTCACTGGGTGACATGCAAGCCACGGAACGAGGGGTGACCCGGAAGAAGATGGAGGAGACACAGGCCACGGAAGAAGGTGTGCTGGGGGAGAAGGGACAGAGAGAACTGAGGCACAGGGACAGACAGGAGACACAACAGACAGAGGAACCAAAAGGAGAAACAATGCACGCCACAGGAAAAGAAGGACTGCATGGAGACGGAGGTTGGGAAAAAGAACAGAAGGAGAAAGAGGTTGGAGAAGAAGTGACAGAGACAGGACAATTAAGGGTGAAGAGGCCAAAATTCAAGATGCCATCATTTGGATGGTCCCAAACGAAGGAGGTAATCACCACGCAAAAGGAGAGGAGAGGACCGGACACGAGGGACTATGAGAAACTAACAGAGGGCAAGGATGAACACAAAAGTAAAGCTAGGCAGGAAAGAGAAACAACTGAGGAGGAGCAAACAGTACCGCGAGCAGAAAGCATTGACACGAAAGCAAAAATCAGAGAAAAACATGATGGAACCAAACAAGAAACAAACTTCCAAATGTCCAAGATAAAGATGCCGTCATTTGGCATGTCTCCGTCAGGCAAGCCCACCGTGGAGGCCTCGCTGGAGGTGGCTGCCCCCAAACTGAAGGCAGACATGGCTCTGCCCTCAGTGCAGGGTGACCTCAAGACCCCTCACCTGAGCATGGAGCTGCCCAAGGTAAACCTGGAGGTCAAGGCTGGCCATGTGGGCGAAAACCTGACCGAGAGCCAACAGTCCGAGGGTGAGCTGGCCTCAGAAGCTGCTGCTGGTGCCGGCCTCAAGGGCCACCTGCCAAAGGGACAGATGCCCAGCCTCAAGATGCCCAGCATCAAGATGCCCAAGGTGGACCTGAAGGGGCCACACGTGGACCTGAAGACACCCAAAGTGGACGTGAAAGGCGCCAAGGGCGACGTCAGCGGCCCCGATCTGGAGGTGTCGCTGCCAGGCGTGGAGGTGGATATCCAGACCCCAGGGGCCAAGCTGGAGGGGGACCTCGCCCTGGTCGACAAGGACATCGCAGCCAAAGACAGCAAGTTCAAGATGCCCAAGTTCAAGATGCCCTCTTTTGGCGTTTCCGCGCCAGGCAAGCCCACCGTGGAGGCCTCGCTGGAGGCGGACGTGGCTCTGCCCTCGGTGCAGGGCGACCTCAAGACACCTGACCTGAGCACCAAGCTGCCCTCCGCCGACCTGGAGGTCAAGGCTGGGCAGGTGGGCGTTGAGTTTCCCGAGTTCCAGCAGCCCGAGGGTGAGCTGGCTTCAGAAGCTGCTGCTGGGGCCGGCCTGAAGGGCCACCTGACCAAGGGGCAGATGCCCAGCCTCAAGATGCCCAGCATCAAGATGCCCAAGGTGGACCTGAAGGGGCCCCACGTGGACCTGAAGGCCCCCAAAGTGGATGTCAAAGGCGCCAAGGGCGAAGTCAGCGGCCCTGATGTGGAGGTGTCGCTGCCAGGCGTGGAGGTGGACATTCAGGCCCCAGGGGCCAAGCTGGAGGGGGACCTCGCGCTGGTCGACAAGGACATGGCTGCCAAAGACAGCAAGTTCAAGATGCCCAAGTTCAAGATGCCCTCTTTCGGCGTTTCCGCGCCTGGCAAGCCCACCGTGGAGGCCTCGCTGGAAGTGACTGCCCCCAAGCTTGAGGCAGACATGGCTCTGCCCTCAGTGCAGGGCGAGCTCAAGACACCCGACCTGAGCATTAAGCTGCCCTCCACCGACCTGGATATCAAGGCAGGGCAGGTAGACGTTGAGTTGCCAGAGTTCCAGCTGCCCGAGGGTCAGCTGGCCTCAGAGGCTGCCGCTGGCTCCGGGCTCAAGGGCCACCTGCCCAAGGTTCAGATACCCAGCCTCAAGATGCCCAAGGTGGACCTGAAGGGGCCCCACGTGGAACTGAAGGCCCCAAAAGTGGACGTGACAGTCGCCAAAGGAGAGGTGATCGGCCACGACTTGGAGGTGTCCCTGCCCAGCGTGGAGGTGGACATCCAGGCCCCGGGAACCAAGCTGGAAGGAGACCTGACCCAAGCCCACAGGGACGTGGCCAGCAAAGACAGCAAGTTCAAGATGCCCAAGTTCAAGATGCCCTCCTTTGGAGTGTCTGCGCCTGGCAAGCCCGCTTTGGAGGCCTCGCTGGAGGTGGCCGCCCCCAAGCTGGAGGCTGACGTGGCTCTTCCCTCGGTGCAGGGCGAGCTCAAGACCACTGACCTGAGCATGCAGCTCCCCTCCACCGACCTGGAGGTCAAGGCAGGGCAGGTGGACGTCGAGCTGCCTGAGTTCCAGCTGTCCGAGGGTGAGCTGTCTTCAGAGGCTGCCGCTGGTGCCGGCCTCAAGGGCCACATGCCCAAGGGGCAGATGCCCAGCCTCAAGATGCCCAGCATCAAGATGCCCAAGGTGGACCTGAAGGGGCCACACGTGGACCTGAAGACACCCAAAGTGGACGTGAAAGGCGCCAAGGGCGACGTCAGCGGCCCCGATCTGGAGGTGTCGCTGCCAGGCGTGGAGGTGGATATCCAGACCCCAGGGGCCAAGCTGGAGGGGGACCTCGCCCTGGTCGACAAGGACATCGCAGCCAAAGACAGCAAGTTCAAGATGCCCAAGTTCAAGATGCCCTCTTTTGGCGTTTCCGCGCCAGGCAAGCCCACCGTGGAGGCCTCGCTGGAGGCGGACGTGGCTCTGCCCTCGGTGCAGGGCGACCTCAAGACACCTGACCTGAGCACCAAGCTGCCCTCCGCCGACCTGGAGGTCAAGGCTGGGCAGGTGGGCGTTGAGTTTCCCGAGTTCCAGCAGCCCGAGGGTGAGCTGGCTTCAGAAGCTGCTGCTGGGGCCGGCCTGAAGGGCCACCTGACCAAGGGGCAGATGCCCAGCCTCAAGATGCCCAGCATCAAGATGCCCAAGGTGGACCTGAAGGGGCCCCACGTGGACCTGAAGGCCCCCAAAGTGGATGTCAAAGGCGCCAAGGGCGAAGTCAGCGGCCCTGATGTGGAGGTGTCGCTGCCAGGCGTGGAGGTGGACATTCAGGCCCCAGGGGCCAAGCTGGAGGGGGACCTCGCGCTGGTCGACAAGGACATGGCTGCCAAAGACAGCAAGTTCAAGATGCCCAAGTTCAAGATGCCCTCTTTCGGCGTTTCCGCGCCTGGCAAGCCCACCGTGGAGGCCTCGCTGGAAGTGACTGCCCCCAAGCTTGAGGCAGACATGGCTCTGCCCTCAGTGCAGGGCGAGCTCAAGACACCCGACCTGAGCATTAAGCTGCCCTCCACCGACCTGGATATCAAGGCAGGGCAGGTAGACGTTGAGTTGCCAGAGTTCCAGCTGCCCGAGGGTCAGCTGGCCTCAGAGGCTGCCGCTGGCTCCGGGCTCAAGGGCCACCTGCCCAAGGTTCAGATACCCAGCCTCAAGATGCCCAAGGTGGACCTGAAGGGGCCCCACGTGGAACTGAAGGCCCCAAAAGTGGACGTGACAGTCGCCAAAGGAGAGGTGATCGGCCACGACTTGGAGGTGTCCCTGCCCAGCGTGGAGGTGGACATCCAGGCCCCGGGAACCAAGCTGGAAGGAGACCTGACCCAAGCCCACAGGGACGTGGCCAGCAAAGACAGCAAGTTCAAGATGCCCAAGTTCAAGATGCCCTCCTTTGGAGTGTCTGCGCCTGGCAAGCCCGCTTTGGAGGCCTCGCTGGAGGTGGCCGCCCCCAAGCTGGAGGCTGACGTGGCTCTTCCCTCGGTGCAGGGCGAGCTCAAGACCACTGACCTGAGCATGCAGCTCCCCTCCACCGACCTGGAGGTCAAGGCAGGGCAGGTGGACGTCGAGCTGCCTGAGTTCCAGCTGTCCGAGGGTGAGCTGGCCTCAGAAGCTGCCGCTGGTGCCGGCCTCAAGGGCCACATGCCCAAGGGGCAGATGCCCAGCCTCAAGATGCCCAGCATCAAGATGCCCAAGGTGGACCTGAAGGGGCCACACGTGGACCTGAAGACACCCAAAGTGGACGTGAAAGGCGCCAAGGGCGACGTCAGCGGCCCCGATCTGGAGGTGTCGCTGCCAGGCGTGGAGGTGGATATCCAGACCCCAGGGGCCAAGCTGGAGGGGGACCTCGCCCTGGTCGACAAGGACATCGCAGCCAAAGACAGCAAGTTCAAGATGCCCAAGTTCAAGATGCCCTCTTTTGGCGTTTCCGCGCCAGGCAAGCCCACCGTGGAGGCCTCGCTGGAGGCGGACGTGGCTCTGCCCTCGGTGCAGGGCGACCTCAAGACACCTGACCTGAGCACCAAGCTGCCCTCCGCCGACCTGGAGGTCAAGGCTGGGCAGGTGGGCGTTGAGTTTCCCGAGTTCCAGCAGCCCGAGGGTGAGCTGGCTTCAGAAGCTGCTGCTGGGGCCGGCCTGAAGGGCCACCTGACCAAGGGGCAGATGCCCAGCCTCAAGATGCCCAGCATCAAGATGCCCAAGGTGGACCTGAAGGGGCCCCACGTGGACCTGAAGGCCCCCAAAGTGGATGTCAAAGGCGCCAAGGGCGAAGTCAGCGGCCCTGATGTGGAGGTGTCGCTGCCAGGCGTGGAGGTGGACATTCAGGCCCCAGGGGCCAAGCTGGAGGGGGACCTCGCGCTGGTCGACAAGGACATGGCTGCCAAAGACAGCAAGTTCAAGATGCCCAAGTTCAAGATGCCCTCTTTCGGCGTTTCCGCGCCTGGCAAGCCCACCGTGGAGGCCTCGCTGGAAGTGACTGCCCCCAAGCTTGAGGCAGACATGGCTCTGCCCTCAGTGCAGGGCGAGCTCAAGACACCCGACCTGAGCATTAAGCTGCCCTCCACCGACCTGGATATCAAGGCAGGGCAGGTAGACGTTGAGTTGCCAGAGTTCCAGCTGCCCGAGGGTCAGCTGGCCTCAGAGGCTGCCGCTGGCTCCGGGCTCAAGGGCCACCTGCCCAAGGTTCAGATACCCAGCCTCAAGATGCCCAAGGTGGACCTGAAGGGGCCCCACGTGGAACTGAAGGCCCCAAAAGTGGACGTGACAGTCGCCAAAGGAGAGGTGATCGGCCACGACTTGGAGGTGTCCCTGCCCAGCGTGGAGGTGGACATCCAGGCCCCGGGAACCAAGCTGGAAGGAGACCTGACCCAAGCCCACAGGGACGTGGCCAGCAAAGACAGCAAGTTCAAGATGCCCAAGTTCAAGATGCCCTCCTTTGGAGTGTCTGCGCCTGGCAAGCCCGCTTTGGAGGCCTCGCTGGAGGTGGCCGCCCCCAAGCTGGAGGCTGACGTGGCTCTTCCCTCGGTGCAGGGCGAGCTCAAGACCACTGACCTGAGCATGCAGCTCCCCTCCACCGACCTGGAGGTCAAGGCAGGGCAGGTGGACGTCGAGCTGCCTGAGTTCCAGCTGTCCGAGGGTGAGCTGGCCTCAGAAGCTGCCGCTGGTGCCGGCCTCAAGGGCCACATGCCCAAGGGGCAGATGCCCAGCCTCAAGATGCCCAGCATCAAGATGCCCAAGGTGGACCTGAAGGGGCCACACGTGGACCTGAAGACACCCAAAGTGGACGTGAAAGGCGCCAAGGGCGACGTCAGCGGCCCCGATCTGGAGGTGTCGCTGCCAGGCGTGGAGGTGGATATCCAGACCCCAGGGGCCAAGCTGGAGGGGGACCTCGCCCTGGTCGACAAGGACATCGCAGCCAAAGACAGCAAGTTCAAGATGCCCAAGTTCAAGATGCCCTCTTTTGGCGTTTCCGCGCCAGGCAAGCCCACCGTGGAGGCCTCGCTGGAGGCGGACGTGGCTCTGCCCTCGGTGCAGGGCGACCTCAAGACACCTGACCTGAGCACCAAGCTGCCCTCTGCCGACCTGGAGGTCAAGGCTGGGCAGGTGGGCGTTGAGTTTCCCGAGTTCCAGCAGCCCGAGGGTGAGCTGGCTTCAGAAGCTGCTGCTGGGGCCGGCCTGAAGGGCCACCTGACCAAGGGGCAGATGCCCAGCCTCAAGATGCCCAGCATCAAGATGCCCAAGGTGGACCTGAAGGGGCCCCACGTGGACCTGAAGGCCCCCAAAGTGGATGTCAAAGGCGCCAAGGGCGAAGTCAGCGGCCCTGATGTGGAGGTGTCGCTGCCAGGCGTGGAGGTGGACATTCAGGCCCCAGGGGCCAAGCTGGAGGGGGACCTCGCGCTGGTCGACAAGGACATGGCTGCCAAAGACAGCAAGTTCAAGATGCCCAAGTTCAAGATGCCCTCTTTCGGCGTTTCCGCGCCTGGCAAGCCCACCGTGGAGGCCTCGCTGGAAGTGACTGCCCCCAAGCTTGAGGCAGACATGGCTCTGCCCTCAGTGCAGGGCGAGCTCAAGACACCCGACCTGAGCATTAAGCTGCCCTCCACCGACCTGGATATCAAGGCAGGGCAGGTAGACGTTGAGTTGCCAGAGTTCCAGCTGCCCGAGGGTCAGCTGGCCTCAGAGGCTGCCGCTGGCTCCGGGCTCAAGGGCCACCTGCCCAAGGTTCAGATACCCAGCCTCAAGATGCCCAAGGTGGACCTGAAGGGGCCCCACGTGGAACTGAAGGCCCCAAAAGTGGACGTGACAGTCGCCAAAGGAGAGGTGATCGGCCACGACTTGGAGGTGTCCCTGCCCAGCGTGGAGGTGGACATCCAGGCCCCGGGAACCAAGCTGGAAGGAGACCTGACCCAAGCCCACAGGGACGTGGCCAGCAAAGACAGCAAGTTCAAGATGCCCAAGTTCAAGATGCCCTCCTTTGGAGTGTCTGCGCCTGGCAAGCCCGCTTTGGAGGCCTCGCTGGAGGTGGCCGCCCCAAGCTGGAGGCTGACGTGGCTCTTCCCTCGGTGCAGGGCGAGCTCAAGACCACTGACCTGAGCATGCAGCTCCCCTCCACCGACCTGGAGGTCAAGGCAGGGCAGGTGGACGTCGAGCTGCCTGAGTTCCAGCTGTCCGAGGGTGAGCTGGCCTCAGAAGCTGCCGCTGGTGCCGGCCTCAAGGGCCACATGCCCAAGGGGCAGATGCCCAGCCTCAAGATGCCCAGCATCAAGATGCCCAAGGTGGACCTGAAGGGGCCACACGTGGACCTGAAGACACCCAAAGTGGACGTGAAAGGCGCCAAGGGCGACGTCAGCGGCCCCGATCTGGAGGTGTCGCTGCCAGGCGTGGAGGTGGATATCCAGACCCCAGGGGCCAAGCTGGAGGGGGACCTCGCCCTGGTCGACAAGGACATCGCAGCCAAAGACAGCAAGTTCAAGATGCCCAAGTTCAAGATGCCCTCTTTTGGCGTTTCCGCGCCAGGCAAGCCCACCGTGGAGGCCTCGCTGGAGGCGGACGTGGCTCTGCCCTCGGTGCAGGGCGACCTCAAGACACCTGACCTGAGCACCAAGCTGCCCTCCGCCGACCTGGAGGTCAAGGCTGGGCAGGTGGGCGTTGAGTTTCCCGAGTTCCAGCAGCCCGAGGGTGAGCTGGCTTCAGAAGCTGCTGCTGGGGCCGGCCTGAAGGGCCACCTGACCAAGGGGCAGATGCCCAGCCTCAAGATGCCCAGCATCAAGATGCCCAAGGTGGACCTGAAGGGGCCCCACGTGGACCTGAAGGCCCCCAAAGTGGATGTCAAAGGCGCCAAGGGCGAAGTCAGCGGCCCTGATGTGGAGGTGTCGCTGCCAGGCGTGGAGGTGGACATTCAGGCCCCAGGGGCCAAGCTGGAGGGGGACCTCGCCCTGGTCGACAAGGACATCGCAGCCAAAGACAGCAAGTTCAAGATGCCCAAGTTCAAGATGCCCTCTTTTGGCGTTTCCGCGCCAGGCAAGCCCACCGTGGAGGCCTCGCTGGAGGCGGACGTGGCTCTGCCCTCGGTGCAGGGCGACCTCAAGACACCTGACCTGAGCACCAAGCTGCCCTCCGCCGACCTGGAGGTCAAGGCTGGGCAGGTGGGCGTTGAGTTTCCCGAGTTCCAGCAGCCCGAGGGTGAGCTGGCTTCAGAAGCTGCTGCTGGGGCCGGCCTGAAGGGCCACCTGACCAAGGGGCAGATGCCCAGCCTCAAGATGCCCAGCATCAAGATGCCCAAGGTGGACCTGAAGGGGCCCCACGTGGACCTGAAGGCCCCCAAAGTGGATGTCAAAGGCGCCAAGGGCGAAGTCAGCGGCCCTGATGTGGAGGTGTCGCTGCCAGGCGTGGAGGTGGACATTCAGGCCCCAGGGGCCAAGCTGGAGGGGGACCTCGCGCTGGTCGACAAGGACATGGCTGCCAAAGACAGCAAGTTCAAGATGCCCAAGTTCAAGATGCCCTCTTTCGGCGTTTCCGCGCCTGGCAAGCCCACCGTGGAGGCCTCGCTGGAAGTGACTGCCCCCAAGCTTGAGGCAGACATGGCTCTGCCCTCAGTGCAGGGCGAGCTCAAGACACCCGACCTGAGCATTAAGCTGCCCTCCACCGACCTGGATATCAAGGCAGGGCAGGTAGACGTTGAGTTGCCAGAGTTCCAGCTGCCCGAGGGTCAGCTGGCCTCAGAGGCTGCCGCTGGCTCCGGGCTCAAGGGCCACCTGCCCAAGGTTCAGATACCCAGCCTCAAGATGCCCAAGGTGGACCTGAAGGGGCCCCACGTGGAACTGAAGGCCCCAAAAGTGGACGTGACAGTCGCCAAAGGAGAGGTGATCGGCCACGACTTGGAGGTGTCCCTGCCCAGCGTGGAGGTGGACATCCAGGCCCCGGGAACCAAGCTGGAAGGAGACCTGACCCAAGCCCACAGGGACGTGGCCAGCAAAGACAGCAAGTTCAAGATGCCCAAGTTCAAGATGCCCTCCTTTGGAGTGTCTGCGCCTGGCAAGCCCGCTTTGGAGGCCTCGCTGGAGGTGGCCGCCCCCAAGCTGGAGGCTGACGTGGCTCTTCCCTCGGTGCAGGGCGAGCTCAAGACCACTGACCTGAGCATGCAGCTCCCCTCCACCGACCTGGAGGTCAAGGCAGGGCAGGTGGACGTCGAGCTGCCTGAGTTCCAGCTGTCCGAGGGTGAGCTGGCCTCAGAAGCTGCCGCTGGTGCCGGCCTCAAGGGCCACATGCCCAAGGGGCAGATGCCCAGCCTCAAGATGCCCAGCATCAAGATGCCCAAGGTGGACCTGAAGGGGCCACACGTGGACCTGAAGACACCCAAAGTGGACGTGAAAGGCGCCAAGGGCGACGTCAGCGGCCCCGATCTGGAGGTGTCGCTGCCAGGCGTGGAGGTGGATATCCAGACCCCAGGGGCCAAGCTGGAGGGGGACCTCGCCCTGGTCGACAAGGACATCGCAGCCAAAGACAGCAAGTTCAAGATGCCCAAGTTCAAGATGCCCTCTTTTGGCGTTTCCGCGCCAGGCAAGCCCACCGTGGAGGCCTCGCTGGAGGCGGACGTGGCTCTGCCCTCGGTGCAGGGCGACCTCAAGACACCTGACCTGAGCACCAAGCTGCCCTCCGCCGACCTGGAGGTCAAGGCTGGGCAGGTGGGCGTTGAGTTTCCCGAGTTCCAGCAGCCCGAGGGTGAGCTGGCTTCAGAAGCTGCTGCTGGGGCCGGCCTGAAGGGCCACCTGACCAAGGGGCAGATGCCCAGCCTCAAGATGCCCAGCATCAAGATGCCCAAGGTGGACCTGAAGGGGCCCCACGTGGACCTGAAGGCCCCCAAAGTGGATGTCAAAGGCGCCAAGGGCGAAGTCAGCGGCCCTGATGTGGAGGTGTCGCTGCCAGGCGTGGAGGTGGACATTCAGGCCCCAGGGGCCAAGCTGGAGGGGGACCTCGCGCTGGTCGACAAGGACATGGCTGCCAAAGACAGCAAGTTCAAGATGCCCAAGTTCAAGATGCCCTCTTTCGGCGTTTCCGCGCCTGGCAAGCCCACCGTGGAGGCCTCGCTGGAAGTGACTGCCCCCAAGCTTGAGGCAGACATGGCTCTGCCCTCAGTGCAGGGCGAGCTCAAGACACCCGACCTGAGCATTAAGCTGCCCTCCACCGACCTGGATATCAAGGCAGGGCAGGTAGACGTTGAGTTGCCAGAGTTCCAGCTGCCCGAGGGTCAGCTGGCCTCAGAGGCTGCCGCTGGCTCCGGGCTCAAGGGCCACCTGCCCAAGGTTCAGATACCCAGCCTCAAGATGCCCAAGGTGGACCTGAAGGGGCCCCACGTGGAACTGAAGGCCCCAAAAGTGGACGTGACAGTCGCCAAAGGAGAGGTGATCGGCCACGACTTGGAGGTGTCCCTGCCCAGCGTGGAGGTGGACATCCAGGCCCCGGGAACCAAGCTGGAAGGAGACCTGACCCAAGCCCACAGGGACGTGGCCAGCAAAGACAGCAAGTTCAAGATGCCCAAGTTCAAGATGCCCTCCTTTGGAGTGTCTGCGCCTGGCAAGCCCGCTTTGGAGGCCTCGCTGGAGGTGGCCGCCCCCAAGCTGGAGGCTGACGTGGCTCTTCCCTCGGTGCAGGGCGAGCTCAAGACCACTGACCTGAGCATGCAGCTCCCCTCCACCGACCTGGAGGTCAAGGCAGGGCAGGTGGACGTCGAGCTGCCTGAGTTCCAGCTGTCCGAGGGTGAGCTGGCCTCAGAGGCTGCCGCTGGTGCCGGCCTCAAGGGCCACATGCCCAAGGGGCAGATGCCCAGCCTCAAGATGCCCAGCATCAAGATGCCCAAGGTGGACCTGAAGGGGCCACACGTGGACCTGAAGACACCCAAAGTGGACGTGAAAGGCGCCAAGGGCGACGTCAGCGGCCCCGATCTGGAGGTGTCGCTGCCAGGCGTGGAGGTGGATATCCAGACCCCAGGGGCCAAGCTGGAGGGGGACCTCGCCCTGGTCGACAAGGACATCGCAGCCAAAGACAGCAAGTTCAAGATGCCCAAGTTCAAGATGCCCTCTTTTGGCGTTTCCGCGCCAGGCAAGACCACCGTGGAGGCCTCGCTGGAGGCGGACGTGGCTCTGCCCTCGGTGCAGGGCGACCTCAAGACACCTGACCTGAGCACCAAGCTGCCCTCTGCCGACCTGGAGGTCAAGGCTGGGCAGGTGGGCGTTGAGTTTCCCGAGTTCCAGCAGCCCGAGGGTGAGCTGGCTTCAGAAGCTGCTGCTGGGGCCGGCCTGAAGGGCCACCTGACCAAGGGGCAGATGCCCAGCCTCAAGATGCCCAGCATCAAGATGCCCAAGGTGGACCTGAAGGGGCCCCACGTGGACCTGAAGGCCCCCAAAGTGGATGTCAAAGGCGCCAAGGGCGAAGTCAGCGGCCCTGATGTGGAGGTGTCGCTGCCAGGCGTGGAGGTGGACATTCAGGCCCCAGGGGCCAAGCTGGAGGGGGACCTCGCGCTGGTCGACAAGGACATGGCTGCCAAAGACAGCAAGTTCAAGATGCCCAAGTTCAAGATGCCCTCTTTCGGCGTTTCCGCGCCTGGCAAGCCCACCGTGGAGGCCTCGCTGGAAGTGACTGCCCCCAAGCTTGAGGCAGACATGGCTCTGCCCTCAGTGCAGGGCGAGCTCAAGACACCCGACCTGAGCATTAAGCTGCCCTCCACCGACCTGGATATCAAGGCAGGGCAGGTAGACGTTGAGTTGCCAGAGTTCCAGCTGCCCGAGGGTCAGCTGGCCTCAGAGGCTGCCGCTGGCTCCGGGCTCAAGGGCCACCTGCCCAAGGTTCAGATACCCAGCCTCAAGATGCCCAAGGTGGACCTGAAGGGGCCCCACGTGGAACTGAAGGCCCCAAAAGTGGACGTGACAGTCGCCAAAGGAGAGGTGATCGGCCACGACTTGGAGGTGTCCCTGCCCAGCGTGGAGGTGGACATCCAGGCCCCGGGAACCAAGCTGGAAGGAGACCTGACCCAAGCCCACAGGGACGTGGCCAGCAAAGACAGCAAGTTCAAGATGCCCAAGTTCAAGATGCCCTCCTTTGGAGTGTCTGCGCCTGGCAAGCCCGCTTTGGAGGCCTCGCTGGAGGTGGCCGCCCCCAAGCTGGAGGCTGACGTGGCTCTTCCCTCGGTGCAGGGCGAGCTCAAGACCACTGACCTGAGCATGCAGCTCCCCTCCACCGACCTGGAGGTCAAGGCAGGGCAGGTGGACGTCGAGCTGCCTGAGTTCCAGCTGTCCGAGGGTGAGCTGTCTTCAGAGGCTGCCGCTGGTGCCGGCCTCAAGGGCCACATGCCCAAGGGGCAGATGCCCAGCCTCAAGATGCCCAGCATCAAGATGCCCAAGGTGGACCTGAAGGGGCCACACGTGGACCTGAAGACACCCAAAGTGGACGTGAAAGGCGGCAAGGGCGACGTCAGCGGCCCCGATCTGGAGGTGTCGCTGCCAGGCGTGGAGGTGGATATCCAGACCCCAGGGGCCAAGCTGGAGGGGGACCTCGCCCTGGTCGACAAGGACATCGCAGCCAAAGACAGCAAGTTCAAGATGCCCAAGTTCAAGATGCCCTCTTTTGGCGTTTCCGCGCCAGGCAAGCCCACCGAGGAGGCCTCGCTGGAGGCGGACGTGGCTCTGCCCTCGGTGCAGGGCGACCTCAAGACACCTGACCTGAGCACCAAGCTGCCCTCCGCCGACCTGGAGGTCAAGGCTGGGCAGGTGGGCGTTGAGTTTCCCGAGTTCCAGCAGCCCGAGGGTGAGCTGGCTTCAGAAGCTGCTGCTGGGGCCGGCCTGAAGGGCCACCTGACCAAGGGGCAGATGCCCAGCCTCAAGATGCCCAGCATCAAGATGCCCAAGGTGGACCTGAAGGGGCCCCACGTGGACCTGAAGGCCCCCAAAGTGGATGTCAAAGGCGCCAAGGGCGAAGTCAGCGGCCCTGATGTGGAGGTGTCGCTGCCAGGCGTGGAGGTGGACATTCAGGCCCCAGGGGCCAAGCTGGAGGGGGACCTCGCGCTGGTCGACAAGGACATGGCTGCCAAAGACAGCAAGTTCAAGATGCCCAAGTTCAAGATGCCCTCTTTCGGCGTTTCCGCGCCTGGCAAGCCCACCGTGGAGGCCTCGCTGGAAGTGACTGCCCCCAAGCTTGAGGCAGACATGGCTCTGCCCTCAGTGCAGGGCGAGCTCAAGACACCCGACCTGAGCATTAAGCTGCCCTCCACCGACCTGGATATCAAGGCAGGGCAGGTAGACGTTGAGTTGCCAGAGTTCCAGCTGCCCGAGGGTCAGCTGGCCTCAGAGGCTGCCGCTGGCTCCGGGCTCAAGGGCCACCTGCCCAAGGTTCAGATACCCAGCCTCAAGATGCCCAAGGTGGACCTGAAGGGGCCCCACGTGGAACTGAAGGCCCCAAAAGTGGACGTGACAGTCGCCAAAGGAGAGGTGATCGGCCACGACTTGGAGGTGTCCCTGCCCAGCGTGGAGGTGGACATCCAGGCCCCGGGAACCAAGCTGGAAGGAGACCTGACCCAAGCCCACAGGGACGTGGCCAGCAAAGACAGCAAGTTCAAGATGCCCAAGTTCAAGATGCCCTCCTTTGGAGTGTCTGCGCCTGGCAAGCCCGCTTTGGAGGCCTCGCTGGAGGTGGCCGCCCCCAAGCTGGAGGCTGACGTGGCTCTTCCCTCGGTGCAGGGCGAGCTCAAGACCACTGACCTGAGCATGCAGCTCCCCTCCACCGACCTGGAGGTCAAGGCAGGGCAGGTGGACGTCGAGCTGCCTGAGTTCCAGCTGTCCGAGGGTGAGCTGGCCTCAGAGGCTGCCGCTGGTGCCGGCCTCAAGGGCCACATGCCCAAGGGGCAGATGCCCAGCCTCAAGATGCCCAGCATCAAGATGCCCAAGGTGGACCTGAAGGGGCCACACGTGGACCTGAAGACACCCAAAGTGGACGTGAAAGGCGGCAAGGGCGACGTCAGCGGCCCCGATCTGGAGGTGTCGCTGCCAGGCGTGGAGGTGGATATCCAGACCCCAGGGGCCAAGCTGGAGGGGGACCTCGCCCTGGTCGACAAGGACATCGCAGCCAAAGACAGCAAGTTCAAGATGCCCAAGTTCAAGATGCCCTCTTTCGGCGTTTCCGCGCCAGGCAAGCCCACCGTGGAGGCCTCGCTGGAGGCGGACGTGGCTCTGCCCTCGGTGCAGGGCGACCTCAAGACACCTGACCTGAGCACCAAGCTGCCCTCCGCCGACCTGGAGGTCAAGGCTGGGCAGGTGGGCGTTGAGTTTCCCGAGTTCCAGCAGCCCGAGGGTGAGCTGGCTTCAGAAGCTGCTGCTGGGGCCGGCCTGAAGGGCCACCTGACCAAGGGGCAGATGCCCAGCCTCAAGATGCCCAGCATCAAGATGCCCAAGGTGGACCTGAAGGGGCCCCACGTGAACCTGAAGGCCCCCAAAGTGGATGTCAAAGGCGCCAAGGGCGAAGTCAGCGGCCCTGATGTGGAGGTGTCGCTGCCAGGCGTGGAGGTGGACATTCAGGCCCCAGGGGCCAAGCTGGAGGGGGACCTCGCGCTGGTCGACAAGGACATGGCTGCCAAAGACAGCAAGTTCAAGATGCCCAAGTTCAAGATGCCCTCTTTCGGCGTTTCCGCGCCTGGCAAGCCCACCGTGGAGGCCTCGCTGGAAGTGACTGCCCCCAAGCTTGAGGCAGACATGGCTCTGCCCTCAGTGCAGGGCGAGCTCAAGACACCCGACCTGAGCATTAAGCTGCCCTCCACCGACCTGTATATCAAGGCAGGGCAGGTAGACGTTGAGTTGCCAGAGTTCCAGCTGCCCGAGGGTCAGCTGGCCTCAGAGGCTGCCGCTGGCTCCGGGCTCAAGGGCCACCTGCCCAAGGTTCAGATACCCAGCCTCAAGATGCCCAAGGTGGACCTGAAGGGGCCCCACGTGGAACTGAAGGCCCCAAAAGTGGACGTGACAGTCGCCAAAGGAGAGGTGATCGGCCACGACTTGGAGGTGTCCCTGCCCAGCGTGGAGGTGGACATCCAGGCCCCGGGAACCAAGCTGGAAGGAGACCTGACCCAAGCCCACAGGGACGTGGCCAGCAAAGACAGCAAGTTCAAGATGCCCAAGTTCAAGATGCCCTCCTTTGGAGTGTCTGCGCCTGGCAAGCCCGCTTTGGAGGCCTCGCTGGAGGTGGCCGCCCCCAAGCTGGAGGCTGACGTGGCTCTTCCCTCGGTGCAGGGCGAGCTCAAGACCACTGACCTGAGCATGCAGCTCCCCTCCACCGACCTGGAGGTCAAGGCAGGGCAGGTGGACGTCGAGCTGCCTGAGTTCCAGCTGTCCGAGGGTGAGCTGTCTTCAGAGGCTGCTGATGGTGCCGGCCTCAAAGTCCACCTGCCAAAGGGGCAGATGCCCAGCATCAAGATGCCTAAGGTGCACCTGAAGGGGCCACACCTGGACCTGAAGGCCCCCAAAATGGATGTGAAGTCTGCCAAGGGCGAGTTGAGTGTCCCTGCTGCGGAGGTCTCCCAGCCCGGTGTGAAGCTGGTTATCCAGGCCCCTGGGGCCAAGCTGGAGAGTGACCTGTCCCAAGCCCACAAGGACATGTCCACCAAAGACAGCAAGTTCAAGATGCCCAAGTTCAAGATGCCCTCTTTCGGAATGTCCATGCCTGGCAAACCCACCGTGGAGGATGCCTCGCTGGAGGTGGCTACCCTCAAGGTGGAGGCGGTCGTGCCCCTTCCCTCGGTGCAGGGCGAGCTCAAGACCACTGACCTGAGCATGCAGCTCCCCTCCACCGACCTGGAGGTCAAGGCAGGGCAGGTGGACGTCGAGCTGCCTGAGTTCCAGCTGTCTGAGGGTGAGCTGGCTGCAGATTCTGCTGCTGGTGCCAGCCTCAAGAGACCCATTCCCAAGGGGCAGATGCCCAGCCTCCAGATGCCCAAGGTGGACATGAAGGGCCCCCATGTGGACCTGAAGGCCCCCAAAGTGGATGTGAAGGGCGCCAAGGGCGAGGTGAGCGCCCCCGACACAGACATGTCCCTCCCCAAATTTCAGTGTGTTTCCATTGCCTTTGGTAATTCAGAGGATTCTTTGTCTCTTCCACTTACTTCTTGTAATGATCGTATATTCTTTCCTAAGTTTCATAAACCCAAATTTGTGATTTCTCTTCAGCCAATCTCAGCTGCCACTGAGTCTCCTGTGTCTGAGTGCATCCTCAGTTCCTCTGCGAATCCTCCATCATCGGAAGGTTCTTTGGTTGCTGAGGTTCAATCTTCGGACTCTTCTCTTTGTCATGATTTTGAAAGATCATCATTTGGGTCTACAATTAGTCACCCCCTTGAGGCATCCCATCCAGAAGGAAAGGGAAGTTCCTTCCGATTGCCAGGCATACAGCTCCGCCCGTTTAATCTGTCTCCTAAGAAGCAGACAGGGTCTCCAGCTGATCCTGAGACCCAGCATGTGGAACCCGTGTCCAGCGTTGGTTCCTCTATAGTTGAAATGGAGACTCAAGTTGGTACTCATGCTTCCACAGTGGAGTGTCAACCGCATCCCTCTACGGAGAAGGAAATTGAGAAGGGGAGAAGCCGTAAGCTCAGCTTTTCCATGCCACGATTTGGACTACCCAAGATAAAGGGTCCCAAGGGGCGGGCTGGCGTGCCACAGGGAGAAGTGAAGCCTTCCCTCCCGGGCACCACATCTGGAGGTGACTTGGTAGCCCTACAATCCCCTGTCAGTGATACCGAGGTTGGGGGCAGTCTTTCAAAAGATGTCCCTGCTGGGGCTTGCATCAGCTCCCTCTCCATGACAGCAGAGGTGGCTGGGTCCAAAGCTGGTGTTCCACCTGTCCAAGGTGTCCCTGATGTCCGAGGTGACAGCAGGAGTCCGATGTTGGTGGGTGTGTCTGCAAGCCAGCCGCTTGGGGCACTGGCTCCACCTGTAGCGGGAGCCGTGCAGCCATCCTGCAGACACGGAGGTAACACGCCCGCCATGGAAAGCCCTGTGATGGACCCCCCTGCAAAAGAGATGTCAGCAGACTCCCAGGAGCGCTGGTTCAAAATGCCCAAGTTCCGGGTTCCCGGTTTCAGGCGCTCCTCCTCCAAGGAGCGAGATGGGACTGGGGAACAGGAAGGTACTCAGAGCCCAGTCGCCAGCAAAGCTTTAGAGGCAGAGGTAGCAACGGCCACTGTGCAACTATCCCATGTGCCTGAGACCAAGTTAGAGGCACATGTCTCCCTGAGGCCCCCAGAGGGACGGACCAGTGTGAAGAGCCCAGAAAGCCCCACGTATGCAGATGTTGTGAAGCGTGATCTCCACGGAACAGGCTCTAGGCTGCACAGCCCCACTGCGTCAATGTCCCAGACACATGTCCCCACTCCTGAGTTAGGGACCCATCCAGCCAAAGACTCCTTCTCTCCTGAGATGTCTGGCGTGAGAGTCTCAGAAGCCCAGCTTCCTCCGGAAGGAATAGGCAAGCAGCAGCATCCTGAGCCAGGAGGAGACATTCTTGCTGAGGTGGAGGCTAGAACAGAGAGCTGTCCTTCCCAGCCCCAAGGGCCTCTGAGGCTGAAGGCTTCCCTCACCGATATGCCGTCCCAGGTCTCTGTGGTGAGCACAGGTCAGCTCTGGGAGGATTCCGTGTTGACTGTAACATTCCCCAAACTAAAGGTACCCAAGTTCTCCTTCAATGTCTCCAGCTCTGAGGCTGATGTATTCTTCCCTGTGGTGAGGAAGGCACAATGTTCAGAGGGCAGCACTGGCGACACCTCACACAAAGCCAGTCTTGGGCTCTGGGAAGCCAGTCTTCTAAAGACCGGAGCTGAGGATTCTAGAGAGCCACCAGCAAGCCTTGAGCAAGCCTCGGAAGCATCCCCGATTTCTAAGGTCAGAGTGCACATTCAGGGGTCTCAAGCCGACAGTCAAGAAGTCACCATTTGCCACAGGGTGGAACGAGAGGGTGCTGATTCCTCCGCACGCCAAGCCTTTTCTACTCAGATCGTGAGGGAGTCAGAGATTCCGGCTTCTACAATTCAGACTCCTTCTTACGGGTTTTCTTTACTGAAAGTGAAAATCCCAGAGCCCCCTGTGCAGGGTAGTGTTTATACGGTGATTCCTGATTCCCAGGCACAGGAGGAGGGCTTGGGTGCAGCTCCCACACCAGGTGCTGCTGGGAGACATTCCATCCCTGGCGATGTCCCACCTGATGCCGGCGAACCGTTTGAAATGATCTCGTCCAGTGCTGGCATGCCACCGAGGTCACTCACACCCGAGCTGCCCCCTGGGCCCCAGCCTGCAGACAACACCTCTGATGAGGAACCAGCGGAAATTCTTGAGTTCCCTGAGGACAGCCAGGAGGTAAAGCCCCCTGAGATGGTTACTACACAGAAGCCAGACGGCAAAAAGTCCAGCCTGCTGTGGTCCTGGCTTCCGAGCATCGGGTTCTCCTCTGTGGAAGAGGCTGCTGATTCCAGAGACACCACCCAAAGACCTGCTCCTGTCCACATGCAACCTGCAGCTCGCCTGGACCCCGAACTGCCCAGGAAGCAGGAGAAGTCGGGCTGGTTCCGGTTTCCCAAGTTAGGGTTCTCCTCTTCACCTACCAAGAAGAGCAGAAGTGTGGAAGACGAGGAAGGTCAGGCAGAGGCGAAACCCCAGGAAGAAACTGTCACCTTTTTTGATGCCCGAGAAAGCTTCTCTCCCGAGGAGGAGGAGGAACCCAAGCCAGAGGTGACAAGTGCCGGGCCTGGTTCCAAAGCAATGGTGGCGTCCCCTGCAAGAACAGAACTAGTACTGTTGGAACAGTCTAGAGACGCCGGTGACAAATCTACACCCAGGCCTGTGGCCCAATAAGGGCCAGAGCTCAAAGTCAGTGGAAGAGATAAACGACCCCAGTGGAAAGTCAGGGGCTGGGCACTGTAACAGCTCCCCACCCCAGAATGCACGCTGTAGACCGTGATCCACAGTCTGGAAACCCAAGGAAAAAATGAATAGCACTTCTGTGTCACATCTTTCATGGAACCAAAAAACAACGCTAGTTTCTTCTGCAGAACTGTCTAGCCCTGAGAGTTACTGCTGGAGAACCCTGTTGGCCTTTGTGGGGCAAGTCCCAAGAGGCCAGCTGATGCCAGGAGAGCGACATTGCCTCTGAAGTTCCCACGTCTGTCTGTAGGCAGGAGAACCTTTTGGTGTAATCTCTGACCCGCTGCTGCTGCTGCTGCTCCCTCGTGCAGACTATGGTGTGTCCCCGCTGCCTTCTTGCTCCGTTGGACTTCCTCCTTTGTTGACTGTCTCACTAACGGCAAGCTTTGGGACGCGGACTGTGATGGTGGGTACATGCGGCAGGGAGGTCTGACCGGCGGCTGATGGCGCCCAGCGACAACTGTGGGTGCCCACAGACGGGGGTTTGCCGTTAGACCTTGTCTGCCTGCCTGCCAGTGTGCCTGCTTCCCCGGATGTGTGCCCGCCCTATGTTCCGGCTCCCCACGCCTCGAGTGCCGACTGCAGCCCACACACATGGTCCCATTCAGCCACCTCCTACGGGAAAATAAAGGAAACGATGCAACCCGTGGTCCAGCTTGCCGAGGCCTTTTGTTCTGGGATCCTCATTCACCCCTCCCCTTGGTCCCTTCTACTGCAGGCTCCATCTCCACTCCAGAAACCAGAGCTGAGGCTCACCTTAGAGTGGTCGTCCCGGCTCACGTGCTTGTCTACATCCATGTCCAAGAGACCCCAGTGATACAAAAGAAGAGACTGGGGGCCCTGGGTTCACGATAGGGCATCCTCCTGCCAGCCAGGCATCAGTGCTAGGATGGAGCCTGGCCCGCAGAGTAGGCATATAACAGGGGTCAGCTGACCTGGAGGCTCAGCTGGGGGCTTGGCCCATTATCAGAAGTTGCTTCTACCCAGTCTGCAGAGGATCTATTTCTAGAGCAAAGTCAGGGTTTCGGGGCAGCTCCCTGCTGCTCGCTAACGCCCTGCCGGGAGTCATTGTTCCCAGGGGCCACTGGAGCCTGGACCCTGCTCCCTCCTGACCCACGGAGGCTCTTAGCAACAAGTGTACCTTGTCTCACAGACAGGATGGCTGTGGCCTGACTGAGCTAGCCCGGAAGACTGGGGGGAGCGTGCTGGCCCCTTGCAAGGGTGCCCTAAGAAGGCCAGAAGGATGGCTGCTGACACGGACAGGGGAGTGGCCAGGGAAGAGAGGTTGGGCTCCTCCCTCCATGCCTCCACGAGTAGCCGTGCAGTATGGGAGTGTCATCCAAGTTGAGGAGACGTAGAAAGTTCTGGAAAGCTGGTCAGTTGGTCATCCTTGCCCAGGGTACCTAGCCTCCCTCTGGCCTGACTTACAAACACCAGCCAGACTGGATGTGTGCACCCAGTGGTACTACAGAGAGTGTCTGCCTAGCATGCATTTCTGATTCCCTTGAGTCCCTGCCTGTCTGAGGTGGGCTCTCTGCTCAAGGATCCACAGGGCTGCCATCAGATGTAGGCAGGGGCTGTGTCTCATCTTCACATAGAAGGATAGGAGCCGCTGAAGTTGCCATGATCACTGGCTGTGTCAGTTACCGGGGAGCTGGGTGAGCAAGACAGGTCTCAGCTCTCCTGGAGCCTGTCTGAGAGCTACGCAGGGCCCAAAGAGCAGACTCTTGGAGGGCAGGACTCCAGAGGGGTCAAGGACACCACGGGAAGGTTCACACCATCAACTAACCTCCCCGGTTCTGAGGGCCAGAGTTGGAAAAGACTTCCTTTCATGAACACAGGGCTTAGCTGGAGTGACCATATTCGTGAAGTCTTTGGGACTCCCTGTGGGATAAAGAGGTCCCTACAGGTGCTGGAACACTCGACGGGACACTTTGCTCGTGAGACAGCATTTCTTTTTGGGGATACCCAACGTCGGATATCTAGAGGGATCCCTGTCAGAAGTGGGCCTAGGGGGTGAATTGATGTGCGTGGTAGTGGTTTAAGCCTTCCTGACACGGGAAACACTCGCAGGCAGAACCCTCGACTGGGCAGAAGAGGCCTGTGGGTGCAGTCACAACACAGCATTTCATGCATGCACTCAGAGACTGGCGGGAAATCCGGGCCCACACAGAGTGAGAAGACACACAGGGAACGGAAATATGGCTCCGTAGGTAGAGTTCCTACTGTGGAAGCATGAGAACCTGAGCTCAGATCTCCAGCACCGGGGTGTAGCCCAGTGCCTTGCAATTCTCACGCTGGGGAGGCAGAAACAGTTCCTGGGGCGGGCCTGTGGACGAGCTAGTCTCGCCAATCCAGCAAGCCCTGGGTTCAGAGGGAGACCCTGTCAGAAAAAGACACCCAGAGACAACCTTTGACCCCTGTGCACGCATGGCATGCGGGCCTGCGCACATATGAGTATGGACACACACCCCAAACAGGAGCAGGCAGGGGGACAAATGACACAGAAATACTTTCGACCTGGGTCAGGTCTGCAAGCCAGTGACGGGGTTTTATTGGGGGTTGCAGCTGGACAGCTCTAATGTTACATCTGAAGACCGGCACAGCAACTCATCATGGTCAGGCCAGAGAGGCGCGGCTGGGTTCTGGGGTCACTTATGTGTAGCTGCTTTGTCTCCCTATAGCCGTGGGCCGTCCTCTGCTTTAGCTTCTCCTTCACTTGAAAGCCACCCAGAGCTCTCTCAGCAGTTTGCCAGATGACAACCTCGGGCCCCAAGCGACAGGCTTTTGCTTTCTCAGTTTCTGAGCTTGAGTGAATGGAAGCCCAGTGTCCACCCAGAGCATCAGGCCAGAGTCAAAGGGCTCCACCCTCAGCCCTGCCAGACGCAGTCCTGGCTCGGGGCTTGCTTGTCCAGGCCCACGGCGTAGCGGGAATTCCAGTCTCGCTTGAAGAGCTGTCTCAGCTGCTCCTGCACCGGGGTCACACCGGGCTGGGCTCCAGGGGTCGTCTGACTGACAACCAGGCCTACCCCAGCGGTGTTGCTGAAATAGTCCTCCGACCAGTTAGAGGTGCCTGGAGGGAGACAGACACTTGTCCCTGAGACTGCGTCCCCATCAGTCCCGCCGCAGGCTGAGGGACAGTTCAGAACACTGACTAGTCTGCTGTCATCAGTCTGCTGTCACTGCAGCCCCCCGTGCAGGCGCAGTCGGCTCTTCACCAGTGTGCTGGGCCGCAGTGGTCCCCAGAACCTTCGAGGGCAGCCCTCTGTCCTCCCGTGCCTCATCCCAGCCACTCACCTATATAGGCTGCCCTGTCTGTGACCATGAACTTGCTGTGGTTCACACGGCTGAATGGAATGCTGGAGTGATTGCCCACAGGCACGATGAAGACTTTCTTCAGGGAACGGGAGTGAGTTAGGGTGGGCAGGGTGGGAGCGGAACCTCCTTTGCCCCCAAACCCACAAGGTCAGTTTCTTACCACATCCACCGAGATGCCAGCCGAGGGGTTACTGAAAGCCTGCAGGGACCTCAGGAAAGCGAACATGGCGGGGTCTGTGTTGAGCCAGCAGCTGACCAGTAAGCGCACGTGCACACCCCTGTTGAAGGCCGCTGCCCGGACAGCGTTGTCCAGCACCGGCCAGTACCTAGAAATAGGGGGTCGTGTGTTCTGCCTGCAGCCAGCCCGAGCAGGGGTCTCAGCGGCAGGCAAACTGCACCCAGGAGTTGCCCGTCAGGAGGGCAGGCCTCATCCAGACCCACCTGGCAGGGTGAGAGTAGCACATGGTCGGGAAGTACTCCATCACCGACACATAGATGAACTCGCGAGCATCCGCCATCACTGCCAGCACGGCGTCGAGATCCCGGGTACGGCCACGGGGGCAGAGGGCGGGTGGCGAGGCCTGTAGCGGGAGAGGAATCTCTCAGAACACTGCTCCCTAGCTACCACCCTTGACGCAGGCTTTTCCTGGGTTCCTGGCACTACCGCACGCGCTGCACGCTCTGCATGACCCTAAGAAACTCCACGTGGTGAGGGAGGCAGTTCCCCAATGCCCAGGGGTGCTCCTGAGGCCTGGGTAGGAGGCGGTGAGGCAGCCAGGCATCCTGGGTCCCCGGGGGCTGGCCTAACTTTCAGGCTGTCCTGCCTGGGAAGTATATCTACTCTCTCCAGGGGACTCTCCACGCATAAGTAGTCTTTGCTCCATCTGCCGCAGTCTCAGCTCTGGGCCAATCTCTGGGCTGACTTGGGGACTTTCCTCCGATGTGGCAGATGGCCTGCTTTCTCTCAGACTAAAGAGGAATCAGTGCTCGGGGGCTCCCCTACCCTCTCTAGAGCCCAGCCACCGCCTTGTGGCCCCCAAGTCCCCTCAACAGCCTGGAGAGTCCTAGGACCTCAGGTCTGCCACCCCCCAGCCCCTCTCTCTCACCGCTGGTGCTGGTCCAGCCTCCTGCCCTGCGGGGGAGTCTGCCTCCTGCAGCAGCCCCAGGGCCACTGTGGGCCAGCATCTTACCGAGAAGTAGGCGGCGGTGGAAACCCCATCAAAGAGACCGCGCAAGGGATGGAAGCGGTTGATGTGGGATGAGAAGTTCCGAGGCCAGGTTTTCGGGAGAACCGCTTGCGGAGTCCCTAGCACCCAGTAGGTCTGGAATGTTTTCTCAAGATCTTGAGCCAGCTGGCTGCAGTTGTAAATGATGGCACCCAGCTCCTTTACCTGCAGGGATCAGGCTCAGCAGACATGGAGAGCAAAGACCCCCCCCCCCGGGGTTGTGTGGAAGCCACCAGGGGTGTCAGGCAGGGTGCAGTTCCTGTTCAGCTGGCAGCCACTAGGCAGCATCAACAGGTACCAGGGTCCCTGTTTTCCTTAACACTGATCCAACACTCAGAAGCAGATCAGTAGCATGAAAACGCAAAGGAAACAAAACCACTGTTAAGGCCGGGTAATGGTGGCGCTCGCCTTTAATCCCAGCACTCGGGAGGCAGAGGCAGGCCGATTTCTGTGAGTTCGAGGCCAGCCTGGTCTACAAAGCTACACAGAGAAACCCTGTCTTGTGTTTTTGAAACAAGGTCTCTCGCTGGGCTTGCTGATAGGCTGCCCCAGGGACCCACCAGTCTCCACTTCCCTCTGCACTGGAACTACAAGTGTTTGCTACCACGCTCAGCGTTTTACATGGACCCTAAGGCGAAAACCCAGGCTCTCATGCTTGCAAGGCAAGTGCTTCACCCAACTGTCTCCCCAACACTGAGCTGTCTCCCCAACACTGAGCTGTCTCCCCAACACTGAGCTGTCTTTTCCCTGACAGTGCTGGCCTGAGTGTCTGTCCAAGCCCTTAAATGCTGTTCCACGACCTGAGTGCAAGGTCATGTAGAATCTTGTAACATGCCACTATGGAGGCGTGACAAAAGCAACACGTGACCCAAGTCTCTGCTTGCTAACTTCTCACATACGAGCTGTCTTCGGATTCCTGAGGACACAAACATAGCCCCTGGAGATGGAGCGGGGAGAAGCTGCTCCTGGGCCTCCCACCCCTGGATCTTAGAACTCACCTGCGTCAGGGACCGCCAGTCCATGTTGGCACTGCCCACGAAGACATGCTGCCCATCCACGACCCAGAATTTGGAGTGTAGGACACCTCCAGTAAACTGCCTCATGGGAACATGTCGTATCTGGGCACCTGTAATAGATAGAGAGATAGATAGACAGACAGACAGACACAGCTGGCCCTTTACCTTAGAGTTCACTCATTTACCCTCAGAACGACCATATGCTCAAGGCTGTTGTGTGTGGGGAAACAAAGCCACAGGCTGACTGTAGGCTCCTCTAGGCAGCCCAGCTCCAGAGCCGTGGTGATGGCTATGCCTACCGCCTTGTGTTTGTCACTGTAGCCTCTATCCCAAGGCTTTATTTATCTAAGTCCCCCTTCTCTGCTCTGTGGGCCCTGGGCTCCAGTCCTCCAGGGTCCTAGCAAACAGAAACGTTTCCACACACCCCGCAATCCTAGTCTTTGTGTCTCACGGAGGCAGCCAGGCAGTGCTGGAGAGCCCCGCATGCAGACACCTACCGTGGGCAGCCAAGACCTGGAGGTCAGTGGATGTCCTGGCCAATGTTGGGCTGTGGGTGGCCACTGCCAGGGAGATGTTCCTGACCAGGAGCTGTTGAAACTTCTGTAGAACGGCCTCTCCCTGTAAGACCAGGCTAGAATGAGAAGCTGCCCCAGGCTGGTCCTCTGCCCACAGCCCAAGGTAGGCCAAGTCCTGGCCCGTGACTAGAAGCCAAATAAATGACACCATGCACAGCCAAGTGCTCTATCCCAGTCCCTCTGCCCTTGCCCCCAAAAGTCACCTGGGTGGGGGGGCGCTGGCCTCGCTGTTCTACACCAGCCCAAGGCCAGAGCCGAGCCCCGGGCCTGCCTCTGCACCGACAGAAGCTTGACTTGCTGAGTGCAAAGGGCAAAACCAGAAAGCAAAACCAAGGACCAACCAGCTGGGAGGATGAGTCGTTGACTCCAATGTCAGGTCCAGTGAGGGACCAATAGAATGAGGCAACATGGACGCTCTCCTGAGCAGAGTCTAGAAGCTGCAGCCAAGCCTGGGCCAGGGGCTGGGCAGTGGGGCTGCCGGATGCAAATGTCAAGTCCTGGGGGATGCTCTCCACAAGGATGAGCCTGGGGACAGAACCAAACAGGGGCGGGGTATGACTGGGACAGCCACTGGCCAGCTATTTGCTCCGCTCCTGCTGCCCGGCTGGATGGACTGACCTCAGTGTGGCTGCAGAGAGGGGGCAGTGGCGTGGGAAGGGTTAGCCCCACAAACCTCAGTGTGGTGATACTCAGGGAGACATGCGGTAAAGGCGCCGAGGGCCTAGAGGGGGCCACAAGGAATTCCCTTGGGGAAATCCAGGTTCCATACCTCTGGGGCCTATATCATCCCTCCGGGACCTATATCATCCCTCTGAGACCTATATCATCCCTCTGGGGCCTGTATCATCCCTCTGGGACCTATATCATCCCTCCGGGACCTATATCATCCCTCTGGGACCTATATCATCCCTCTGAGACCTATATCATCCCTCTGGGGCCTATATCATCCCTCTGGGGCCTATATCATCCCTCTGGGACCTATATCATCCCTCTGAGACCTATATCATCCCTCTGGGGCCTGTATCATCCCTCTGGGACCTATATCATCTTTCTGGGACCCATATCATCCCTCTGGGACCTATATCATCCCTCTGGGGCCTGTATCATCCCTCTGGGACCTATATCATCTTTCTGGGACCCATATCATCCCTCTGGGACCTATATCATCCCTCTGGGACCTATATCATCCCTGGGACCTCTATCATCTGCTCAGGGATCCAGCGATGCACCGGGCCAAGACACATACCCCACAACCCCAAGAGAGCCCCTGGCGTTCACTCACTGACAAGAGTTACTCTGCTGCCCAGTGTCTCCTCCCAGGACCTCCCAGGACCTGGAGGGGGCTTCCTCGGGGCACATCAGGGAGGTGGGCACTTGCCCCAGGAACAAGACGAGAGTCACCAAGCTGAGGCCCCCTACAGCCAGCATCCCCAGTACCTGCAGGAGGAGACGTCCCCACAGCCTTCCCAGCAGCCAGGACAGCCCTCCCCATTCTATCACGCCCAGGCTTCTGGGAAGGGACTGGGGGTGAGCAAGTGGGAATGAGGGAGCACATGGATGGGGAGGTGGTTTACAGTCCTCTCAATGGTCCTCTCTGCCGCGATGAGGCATGGGCAAACTCTGCAGCAGTCCAGGTGGCCTCAATCTGGCCCGCCACCCCCACCGCCGCCACCCCCAGGCTGGTTTTGTACTCTTTAATCAAGCTCCAGGATGTAATATTTAAGAAACTAAAAAAAATTTTTTTGAGCATGGCTCTGATTGGAAATTGGGTTCGGGCTTGTTTATAGAGGGCTGAGTCCCCGGCCAGGCGTCCCTTAGGTTCCCCTGTCCCTACCACGACGGCTCTACTGTGTGGATCAGGGTGTGCAGCACAGCAGGGCCGCTCGGGGACCTCCACCGCTGTCTGGAGGAGTGTCAGCATCTGCAAGGGGACAGTGTGTGTCACCAGCAACCCCGGCTCCACGGTGTCACCTCCTTAGGCAGTCCCTACAGAAACACGCTCCAATGTTCAGATGCCAGTCGCACTCAGACGCGGGACCCGCCCAGACTCCACCCGCAGGAAGCTGGCCTACAGATGCAGCTCCGTGGGCCCCCGGGAGGGCCCTTGCCGCCTGTACCGATGGCTCCCTTGGTCTTGGGTGTTTTGAGTCTCGGTTCCTTGTTTTCTCCGCAAGTGAAACCAGGTCTAAAAGTTGCTGTTTCTGCTTTGCCCCCCTCGTCCATTCTTCCTTATTAACCCAGGGACAGCTGCTTCCCTTCCCCGGCTGGCCCCCTATTTTGGTCCCAGGGTGGGCAGCTGTCTAGAAAGTGGGGTGTGACAGAAGGGCCACGGAGAGCTGAGTCTGTACCCCGCACTTCTGCCCAGCGCAGGGGACTGGAAGGGATGCTGCGGCCAGTCAGGCTGGAACGGCCAGTCAGCCTGGAGCGCCTGCTTTGTGCTCTCGGGGGGGGGTCCACCCTTCAAAGTGCCAAGGCGGCCCCTCCGGAGGCCCCGAGGCAAGGAGTGCCACCTCAGACGGGAAAACTCTGACACAGCAAGTGGGTCACACAGCCCTGCAGTACGGGGGCCGGCATCGCTCCCAGCCTGAGTGCTGCTGTTGGGGGCCCAAGGCATTGTATGACTGTAGGTGGCTGGGTTTTGGAGTCTGGGGGCTTCTTCAGCTCTGTGGGACAGGCCATCACCACAAGAGCAGTAGGCCCCATCCCACTGTCCACCAGGAGCTGTGCTGGACGGCAGCCTACAGGGAAATATGGCCAGCCTCAGCGCAGGGAGGGGACCGATTACACGAGCCAGGCCTGGGAGCGTGTCTGCCCTGGAGCGCAGCGTCACAGGGAAGTGAGGCCTAGAAACCACCCTGAAGCATGCAGTTGGGGGTGTGCTGAGGCAGAGTCACCCACAGAGGCCCGGCACCCTCTTACCAGAGATCCCCAAAGAAGGGGGTCAGGAGGTCACTTCCACCTCAGAGCAGGGCTCATGCTGGTAGAGCTATTTCCCACCCTGACTCGTGGTGGGGGGTGGGTGGGGGCAGCTCTGGAAGCCCAGCTTCTGGCTTCCACCCGTCTTTATAATTTCCAGAGGAGGTATAGACAGGAGGTTCTAGACCAGGGTCACCAGAGAGACCCCTCAAAGAGCTGCTGGCCCACCTCTTCTGACTCCTCTGAGAAAAGTGTTCTCACACCCTCAAGTACCTGGGCTGACAGAGAGGCAAGAGCACAGCATCCCTCGTCTAGGACCTCCAAGGGCCACAGAGCTCTGACCACCTTCTGGTGACGGGGAACTGCTCTGAGGCCAAGGAAAGGGAGCCACGAGGGGCGGCTCCCCCACATAGCTGCAGATCTGTCCGTCTTTGGGCTCTGTGGGTCTTCTGCATCCTTTGGGTGGGGATGTCTGTGTAGACTCACCCTCTAGTACTGGCATCTCAGGACTGGGGTGAGCCGGCAGCTGGACCGTTGAAACCCCCTAGCCTGTGGGCCAAGCTGCGGGCCCCAGGCTGGGACAGGACTTGGCTGCCAAGTGGCTGGAGACCCTGATACCCAGTGATCCTGGATTCACAGATCAAGCAAGGAGTGGTTGTCTGCAGGCCAGTCTGGGCGGCCTGTGGGATCTGGGGTGCTGGAGGCTGGGGCTGTGGGAGTAGACAGAAGCCCCTTCCAAGGCCCTCCGCCTGGTCCTAGCCTGGCTGACACTTACCTCTGGGGGCCCCGGCTTGTCCATCATGGCTCCAGACGCTGTCTGCAGGCTTTGCTTGTACGGGCACCTGCCTCCTCTCTGGCCGGTCACTTCCCCTTCCATCCACTTCCTCTCTGTTCTGAGCACCCCACCCCCACCTCGGACTGAGTGGGCCTCTAGAGGGTGGGGCTGAGAACTTTCTCCTCTAGAGAAAATCTGCCGTGCCTACTCCTAGAGAGGGCCCCTCAGTCACTGCCTAATGTCGGAGCTAAATCGGACCGTAGACACCAGAGACTCAAGCAAGAGTCGTTCAAACAGTAAAAGCGGGAGCGCATCGTGACTCGTGGATAGATTGGGACACAGATACAGTCATGATGGACATTCGAGGGGGGGAGGTGGACGTTGTGGAGGTAGGGCCTGATTGGACGGAGGGCGCTGTGGAGGGTAGGGCCTGATTGGACGGAGGGCGCTGTGGGAGGTAGGGCCTGATTGGATGGGGGGCGCTGTGGAGGTAGGGCCTGATTGGATGGGGGGCACTGTGGGAGGTAGGGCCTGATTGGATGGGGGGCACTGTGGGAGGTAGGGCCTGATTGGATGGGGGGCACTGTGGGAGGTAGGGCCTGATTGGACGGAGGGCGCTGTGGGAGGTAGGGCCTGATTGGACGGAGGGCGCTGTGGAGGGTAGGGCCCTGATTGGATGGGGGGCACTGTGGGAGGTAGGGCCTGATTGAATGGGGGGCGCTGTGGAGGTAGGGCCTGATTAGACGGAGGAGGGGCCAGAATTTTGCAGGCCTTGTCTTGTACCTGGGATCTTGCTACCTGGCTGCGTCAGGGCGAGCTGCTCGCTTCTTCCCTGCCTCTACGCCTGATGGCACTATGAGTCCACAGCAGCATTGGCGGCTGGTCATGGGGTGAAGCCTCCAAAGCGGTGAGCCAAAGTAAGTCCTTCATTCTCTCAATGGTTTATCTCAGGCGTTTGTCAGAGTGAAGAAAATCTGACCGACTCACCAGCCGAGCCCCAGGTCTGGTGTCTGGAGGAGTTGTCTGTTGTAGAATATTGTTTTAAGTGCGTTACTTTTATTTACGCTCTGGGACATTTGCTTGACGATGCAAAGATGTGTCTGATGAAATGAAATTCACCTGCGGTCAAGAGGCTGGGTCAGCAGCTAGCTGACCGGAAGTTGTAGGGAGGAGCCAGGAGGAGAAGGGTTTATAAGGAGGGGTGAGAAGAAGTCCGAGGATTCCTAGGGAGGCTCGAGGAAGCCAGCTGCTTCCTATTCAGTCTCTGGGAAGCAGGAGTCTACCTCAACCTGTGAGGAGTCAACAAAGTCTGGCACAGTAGGTTGGGGCAGGGCCGAGCCCCTCTCCCATGCACTGAGGCTGAGCGTGGCATCCCACCCTAGGGAATGGGCTCCAACAAGCTCACTCATGTGCCAGGTTTGTATCTGGATCCTCTTGCCAGGGGCCCCTCAGATAGCCCAAGCTTCACAACTGTCTCCCACATACGGAGGGCCCAGTTGGGTCCCCTGGAGTCTCCACAAGTTGTAGGTCTAGAGTTGGTGAGTTCCCACGATCCTGACCTCCCTTGCTCATGGGTTCCCTCCTCTCTCTCTCCGACTGGATTCCCGGAGCTCGGCCTGGTGCCTGGTTGTGGATCTCTGTGTCTGTTTCATCAATTACATGAATTGGTTGTAACATAGAGCCTTGGTTGAAGGCTCTATGGTGATAGCTGGGGTATTCACCAATCTGACTACAGGGTTAGGTGAGTCCAGACATACTCTCTACTATGGCTAGGAGTCCTAGCTGGGATCCTTGTGGATTCTTGGGCTTTTCCCTAGCATCCGGCTTCTCCCTGAGCCCGCAGTGGCTCTCGCTCTATAAAGATTTCTCCTTCACTGCTCTCAATGTCCCTCTCCCAGCTTGACCATCCCATCCCTCATTCCCCCCCCACCCTGTTTGCCCCATAGATCCCATCTAATTTCCCCTCCCAGGGTCATCCATGTGTCCCTCTCCAGGTCCTCCTTGTCACCTGGCTGCTCTGCAGCTGTGGACTGTAGTCTGGTTGTCCTTTGCCTTACATCTAGCATTCACATGTGAATGAGTTCACACCGTGTCTGTCTGTCTGAGTCTGGGTTGTCTCATGCAGGATGGTTTTTTTTCTAGTTCCATCCATTTGCCTGCAAATTTCATGAGGTCATCATTTTTTTATAGCTGAGTAGTACTCCATTGTGTAAATGTACCATTTTCCTTATCCATTCTTCGGTTGAGGGGCATCTAGGTTGTTTCCAGGTTCTGCCGATTATGAGTAATGCTGCTATGAACACAGTTGAGCAAGTGTCCTTGTAGTACGATTGAGCATCCTTTGAGTAAATGCCCAAGAGTGGTATTGCTGGGTTTTGAGTTAGATTGATTCCCAATTTTCTTAAAGACCGCCATACTGATTTCCAATGTGGCTGCGTAAGTTTGCACTCTCACCAGCAGTGGAGGAGTGCTCCCCTTACTCCACATCCTCTCCAACGTAAGCTGTCTTCGGGATTTTTATCTTAGCCATTCTGACAGGTGTAAGATGGTATCTCAGAGTCATTTTGATTTGCATTTCCCTAATGATGAAGGATGTTGAGAACATCCTTAAATGTCTTTTGACCATTTGAGATTCTTCTGGTGAGAATTCTCTGTTTAGCTCTGTACCACATTTTTCAACTAGGTTATTTTGTATTTTGATGTCTAGTCTCTATAAATTTTGGAGATCAGACCTGTGTCAGCTGTGGGGTTGGTGAAGACCTTTTCCCAGTCTGTGGGCTGCCGTTTTGTCTTGTTGACTGTGTCCTTTGCCTTACAGAAGCTTTTCAGTTTCAGGAGGTCCCACTTGTTGTCAGTCTCAGTGTCTGTGCTGCTGGTGTTATATTTAGGAAGTTGTTTCCTGTGCCCATGCATTCCAGGCTAGTTCCCACTTTCTCTTCTATCAGGTCCAATGTAGTTGCATTTATGTTGAGGTCCTTGATCCACTTGGATTTCAGTTTTATGCATGGCCATAGATATGGATCTATTTGCAATCTTCTACATGTTAACATCCAGTTATGCCAGGACCATTTGTTAAAGAGGTTTCCCTTTTTCCATTGTACCAATTTGGCTTCTTTGTAAAAAATCAGGTGTTCATAGTATGTGGATTAATATCAGGGTCTTCAATTCGATTCCATTGGTCTACCTGTCTGTTTTTATGCCAATACCAGCTGTTTTTATTACTATAGCTCTTTAGTAGAGTTTGAAGTCAGGGATGGTAATGCTTTATAGGATTGTTTAGCTATCCTGAGGTTTTTTTTTCATATGAAGTTGAGTATTGTTCTTTCAAGGTCTGTGAAGAACTGTGCTGGGATTTTATGGGGATTGGATTGAATCTGTAGATCGCTTTTGGTAGGATTGCCATTTTTATTATGTTGACTCTACCTATCCAAGAGCATGGGAGATCTTTCAATTTTCTGGTATTCTCTTCAGTTTCTTTCTTTAGGGACTTAAATTTCTTGTCATACATATTTTTCATTTATTTGGTTAGTGTTACCCCAAGATATTTTATGGTGTTTGTAGCTATTGTAAAGGGTGATGTTTCTCTGATTTAGGAGGGCTACTGATTTTTTTTAGTTAATCTTGTGTCCTGCCACATTACTGAAGGTGTTTACCAGCTAGCTGTAGGAGTTCCTTGGCAGAATTTTTGGGGTCACTTATGTATACTATCCTATCACCAACAATAGTGAATGTTTGAGTTTTTCCTTTCCAATTTGTATCCCCTTGGTTTCCTTTTGTTATCATATTGCTCTAACTAGAACTTCAAGTACTATATTGAATAGATAAGGAGAGAGTGGGCAACCTTGTCTTGTTCCTGATTTTAGTGGAATCAATTTGAGTTTCTCTCCATTTAGTTTGATGTTGGCTGTTGGCTTTCTGTATATTGCTTTTATTATGTTTAGTTATGTTCTTGTTATTCCTGATCTCTCCAGGACCTTTATCATGAAGGGTTGGAATTTGTCAACTATTTTCCAGCATCTAATGAGATGATCATGTGGGTTTTTTTCTTTCAGTTTGTTTATATGGTGGATTACATTGACAGATTTCTGCATGTTGAACCAATCCTGCATCTCTGGCATGAAGCCTAAGTGGTCATGGTGGATAATTTTTTTGATGTGTTCTTGGATTTTGTTTGCCAGTATTTTATTGAGTATTTTTGCATCATGAGGGAGATTGGTCTGTAGTTCTCTTTTTTTGTTGCATTTTTGTGTGGCTTAGGTATCAGGGTTACTGTAGCCTCATAAAAGGAGTTTGGCAATGTTCCTTCTGTTTCTTTTGTGTGGGACAGTTTGAGGAGTATTGGAGTTAGCTCTTTTTTGAAATTCTGATAAAATTCTACGCTGAAGCCATCTGGACCTGGGCTTTTTTTGGTTGGGAGGCTTTTAATGACTGCTTCTATTTCCTTAGGGGCTATAGGTCTATTTAAATTGTTTATCTGGTCTTGATTTAATTTTGGTATGTAAAACCTATCCAGAAAACTGTCTATTTCTTTTAAAATTTCCAACTTTGTGGAGTATAGGTTTTTGAAGTATAAACTGATGATTAACTGAATTTCCTCAGTGTTATTTCCCCCTTCTCATTTCTGATTTTGTTATTTTGGATATTCTCTCTCTGCCATTTGGTTAGTTTGGATAAGGGTTTGTCTATCTTGTTGCTATTTCTCAAAGAATCAACTCTTTGTTTTATTGATTCTTTTTATTGTTCTCTGTTTCTATTTTATTGATTTCAGTCCTCACTTTGTTTCCTGCCATCTACTATTCCTGGGTGAGTTTTCTTCTTTTTGTTCTAGAGCCTTCAGGTGGTTTGTTAATTCACTAGTGTGGGATTTCTCTAACTTCTTTATATAGGCGCTCAGTGCTATCAACTTTTGTAGTGGCGTTTTGCCTTGCCAGTGAACTTGAAGTGTGGCCACACTCTTTGGGCGTAGTTCAGCTGTAGACATGACCCTTTATAAGGTAGAGGAGGGGCTGGCTCTCGCTCTCTTGAGTTGCGGAGAACATTGGAAGGGCAGAGACTACATCTTCTGGAACAGGAAGACCGGGGTGGTTATTTACTCTTATTTGTGTAAGTGCTTCCCTAATAAATTCCTATTTCTCATTTATCTTGGGT